CAACTTCCTTAGCAATCAGGGAAATGCAAATCAAAACAACTTTGAGATATCATCTTACACCTGTCAGAATGGCTAAAGTCAAAAACACCAAGGATAGCCTTTGCTGGAGAGGCTGTGGAGGAAGGAGTACCCTCATCCATTACTGGTGGGAATGCAAACTTGTGCAACCACTGTGGAAGTCAGCGTTCTGGTTTTGATGGTTTCCTTCATTGCCTAAACTTAGCTGACCTAAAATTCAATCTGTAGACTGGGCTGGCATCGAACTCAGAGATCCGTGCTGGGATTAAAAGTGTGCACCAGCACACCAGGTTCTAAACTTTTCTTTTCTCTTCTTTTTTTTATAAATTTTATTTAATGAGGAATAGATTTTTATGTAAAACTGCTTTGCCTCAGTGTTTGCACAGCAAGAGAGAGAGAGGGAATTCTGAAACAACACCGTACAGCAATAAGCTTTATAAGGAACGGAAGAGCACGTTTTCCCACATTGTCTTCAGTCCAGTAGAGCCCAGGTTCTGGTGCTCTTGCTCACAGTCCTCAGTGGAGACACTTCAGGCTTTGCTCAGCACATTCTCCAGGGCTCTGGTCCCCTCATCAGCACTCAGGTTGTTCAGAGACACATTCTTCTCTTGGCCAAAAGCTTAGCGGGCCCGGAGCTTGGGTTGCACCTCCAAACAGTCGCGGATTAGAATGGGCAGGCCGGGGTGTGCCTTCTTCAGCTCCACATACAGTTGCTGGATGAAATCCCTCACACCCTGGCTGCCCGGAGAAAGCTGGCGTAAGTGGATGCGAATCTCACGCAGCCCCAGCTTACTCCCGCCGCGGCGGCCACCATCTTTGCTAAGCTTCTTTTCTTTTTTTATGTGCATTAGTGTTTTGCCTACATGTAAGTCTGTGTGAGGATGCCAGATCCCCTGGAACTGGAGTTACAGACGGTTGTGAGCTGCCTTTTGGGTGCTGGGAATTGAACTGGGATCCTCTAGAAGAATAGTCAGTGCTCTCAATCATTAAGCCATCTCTCCAGATCCTCTAAGCTTTTATTCAATTCCTTTTCACAATTTGGAAGATTATCTGGGAGGGATCTTGCCCTGGGGTCACCACTCGCTTTATTACATTTAACTTTAGGATTTTCTTTAATCTGTTTCTCTCCTGGAGCACAGGATTTAGGTCCATTCCACTTCCTGGTGCCTCTTTTTTCTTCACTGTACATTTCGTAACTTTCCTTACTTAGCCTGCTCCTTTTCATTATAGATCTGCAAAACTGTGGCTACTAATCACCATACAACACAGTCTACACGAGGCTGTTTTAAAATCTCTGCAAATACAATTAATCCAAAACTCTTCAATTTATCTGCAGGCAAATTTTTTGGACAAGGGCAGAAAGCAGTCACATTCTTCACAAAAATATCTTCGGAACAGTCTCTAGGCCACATACTTATATTCTTCTCCTCTGAAACCTCTTGAGCCAAGCGCCCACAGTTCCCATCACCCTCAGCACCACTGCCTTCTCTGTTCCTACCAGGATGGCCTGTTAAGTCCCACTTAAAGCATTCAACTGTTTTCTAATCCGAAGTCCACATTACTTGAAACAAAAGCACAGTCAGGTCTATCACAGCAATACCCTAGTCCCTGGGACCAACTTCTGTCTTAGTTAGGGTTTCTTTTTTCTTTTTTTTTTTTCTTTTTTTTCTGGTCTTTTTTTTATTTATTTATTTATTTATTTATTAAAGATTTCTGTCTCTTCCCCGCCACCGCCTCCCATTTCCCTCCCCTTCCCTCAATCAAGTCCCCCTCCCTCGTTAGCCCAAAGAGCAATCAGGGTTCCCTGCCCTGTGGGTTAGTTAGGGTTTCTATTGCTATGAAGAGAAACCATGGCCATGGCAACTCTTACAAAGGAAAATATTTAATTGGGGTGGTTTATAGCTCAGAGATTTAGTCCATTATCATCATGGCAGAAAGCATGGTGGCATGCAAACAGACATAGTACTAGAGAAGGAGCTAACAGTTCTATATTCAGATAGGCAGACAGCAAGAAGAGAATGTCAGACTGGGCCTGGTTTAAGCATCTAAGACCTCAAAGCCTGCCCCTGGTGACATACTTCCTCCAACAATACCACACCTACTCCAACATGGCCATACCTCCTAATAATGCCACTCCCTGTAAGCCGATGGGGGCCATTTTCTTTCAAGCCAATGCATCTGTGAAGTACATAATTGAATAAAATTAACAATAACATATTCCTATGTAACAATTGTGTAGCTTGGACTACATGTGGGACTCCTAACAATGGGAGCAGGGCTGTCCCTAACACTTTGGCTGGCTCTTGGGAACCTATTCCTCATACTGGGTTGCCTTGCCTAGCCTTCACACAAGGGGAGGTGCTTAGTCTTACCACAACTTGATAGGCCACACTTGTTGATACCCATGGGAGGCCTTTCTGAACAGAAACAGAGGAGCAGATTGAGAGGGGTGGAGGAGAAGCGGAGGGAGGAAAAGGGGAAAATGCAGTCAGGATGTAAAATTATTAATTATGTTGAAATGTGCTGTTTTTAATGAACCCATTAATCATAAGTAATTATTTAATTAAAAAATAACATTTCAACATTTGATATTAAAACTTTCAGTTACTTGGATCAACATATAAAGTGCCAGTTCTTAGGGAAAATGTTATAGGTCAACAATACTCTCCTCATGTACAAAGTAAATTCTAAAAGAATTTGCTGAGTGAAATTTTATAATTCTTTCTGCATATAGGTGAACTCTATTCACCATATCAACTATATCCAACTAAAAATCCAAGACATAAAGGCTCAAAGGAACAAAATCAAGACACAGTCTACTAAAGCAAACTGTATTAGTTCTGGAGGAACAGAACTGATACAATCTATACATGTTATAAAGGAGGTTTATAAGACTAGCTTTCTCAATAGGGGCACAGTCTGTCCAGCAAGCCCAACTCCGACAGCCATCTCTCTGTCCACCTCCATCCACGGTGTTCCCAGCCCATGAACAGTCCCCACGGGTCCCCGTCTCCTATCCCACAGCCAGGAGGGACTGTGCCTACCTTGTGTCACAGCTAACCCCACTGCAGTTTGATATCAATGAGCAGTCACTCTTGACTGCTTCTGGGCAGAAGATTTCACGTGTTTCCTGTAGTCAGAATTTTCTTTGGGCTGACAGCTCACAAGTACCAACATGGAGACTTATTATTTATGAAGCTTGGCCTTAGCTTAGACTTCTTCCCAACTAGCTCTTATAACTTAAATTAACCAATTTATATTGATATATGTTCTGCCACATGGTTCATTTACCATTCCTTTGTACCATATGTCCTTTACTGCCTCGCTGGTGTCTCTCCTGTGCCTAGATTCATCCTGAGTTCCTCTCTTTGCCAGGAAGTCCCACCTCTTCTCTCCTGCCTAGCTATTGGTTATTTAACTCTTTATTAAACCAATCCCAATGACACATCTTCATACAATGTAAGCAAATATTCCACAAGAGTCTCCCCTCAGCTTCTTTATTTTTCCTTCGGCTTTTTCTGTCATACAAAGAGTCAATTCTTTTTACCCTGACCCTTCTTTACCTGGTCACACAGAGGCAGCTTCTAATCCACCATCAACAGAAAGTTATACTAGCTGAAAATACTATAAAGCAAGCTCTTTGAGGTCCATGCGATTATTTTTACAGATCCACCTGAGAGGAAAGTCATAGAGTTAAGGAACAAATCTAAACCACTCCTTAGATTAATTTTTTAATCTTCAGTTGTTTTAACATAGCTAACCTATTTTAGTAGACTCAGATGGGAAAGTTGAAAGAAACAGGAGGGAAAAGGTGAGGAAAGAATTTTTCTTTAAGCACTCGCACAGATAAATAAATTTCATTTCTTAGTATAAGTATAAACTCAAAATTCAGGAATCTTCTTTGTTGTGGGATAATCCTTTTGTACACTGTGAAGATGTGTCTCTGTCTAAGGTACCTTATGACTGGTTTAATAAAGAGCTAAGTGGCCAATAGCAAGGCAGGAGAGAATAGGAAGGGCTTCCAGGGGAAAAGGCAGAATATAGATTAATTAATGTAAGTTCATTTAAGTTGTCACAGATTCTGGGGAACAAGCCTAAGCTACGGCCAAGCATTCATGATTAATAAGAAGTCTCCATGTCATTATCTGGGAAGCAGCAGTGCAAAGAAAGCCCAACTATACTTTTTAGTGGTTCACAGCATCATTGGACACCTGACAGCCCAGAGAGCAGACCTTGTGGCTGGAAGAGACTGAACAGAAGCCAGGACTAGCACTACAGTTCTTCGGGGCAGCAATCATACCCAGACTCTCTGAGACCTTCAACCTCAGCTGCCATCCCAGGGAGATGGGTTGCCTATGACACGGGCAATACTTCTTGTCTCCTTGGTCCATAGTGGCTCCTGGACTGAGCTCTTCTGGTCCAAGTCACACAGGCACACGTTACAGGGCTCTTCATCTCTCACCCCTGAAGCAGAGCCAGGGTGAGGCTGCCAACATGACAGAAGAGAGCACCCCAGCACCCCTAAAGGCAGTATTCAGTGTCTTGTCACCTCTGAACAGCACAACGCAGGAAAAGACTCGTCTTTCTATAAAGAAGTTGGGATGGACGCAATGTAGCATCAGGCCAGTTATGGGAAGGAATAGAGAGGAAGCATCTTCTGCTGCTTCTTTAACACCAAACCAAGTACTGAAGGATGAGATGCCTGAGAACCTCACACACACACACACACACACACACACACACACCTTTTACAAAACAGGAACAAATAATGGGAAATAACATTTTTATTCTGGGGGACATAAATGCATCTTTAAAAAATCCTTCTGAGGAGGGGAAATAAAGAGACGCGAGTGCCATCATTCTAATCATCTTCCACACAAAGATCAGGTGGGGAAGTTTACACGCCTACACAAGCTAGAGATTTACACACCAACTCCCGCCTGCGGCAGACATTCCCCCAGAGCCCCCCCCCCCCCAGAAAGGGAAACAATTGATTTTCAAAATCATCAGAGGCAATCATCAGCTGTAGAGTGAAAACAGTCACACTTGGGTTTCTGGAAAGGCTAGTTTTAGATGAAGTCTTTGAAAAATAAATCATAATCAATGTTCCACCAAGCACAGAAGGATGAAACAAAAAGTGAAAAGGACTGAAGAGTGTCGAAGGGAGCCCAGGGCTCCGTTCTCACAGCGATGGCAGCTGGTGTCTCCGCAGAGGTCACAAGAAGACAGCTTCATCTTGGAGTTGTAGCTTCTCACTGCCTGTCTCCCTGTTTAAAGAGGCAGACACCCAGGTTACACGTCTCCTTTGTCAGGAAACGGTGGTTTTGCTAAGCATAAATCATGAAAGGACCATGCTTCACAACGTTAACTTTTTTTTCTCAGAAACAAATGAGATGCTCAGGAGGCACAGATGGTAAACAAATGCCGAGAAACAGTGTGTTCAGCCCGTTCTATCTACAATCAGTGGGCCAGCTTTAGGAGACAGCAAATTGGCTGCAGCCCTCCGCTGCAAACACGACCTTAACTGGAAGGGAAAGACTTTAAATTTTGAGTCATTTAATCTTCTCAAGAGTTTATTTGGGGACGATATTTTCTATGCCAGTAGACCTCCTGAGAAGTGTCTGACCTAGACTTTACTAAGCGAATCAAAGGACGATGGAAATATATCTGTATCTGTTGTTAGACAGGGGCATACTGTCAAACTCTATTCATTCCAGGTACAATTCTTAGCACAAATGGATGGTGTTTAGCTGCATAAACAACCAATCACAAAATAATAAACTCACCAAAACAAAAACAACTACGCTTCAGTGTTTTAAAACAGAGTGCATACTAACTAGTAACTACTCAGTTGGGGGTACAAGTTATAGTACAGATAATACTTTAAAAACTATGTAAGGTACATATCACCCTATAAAAATCTCAGTGCAAAACAAAACATTTCATTTTATAATTTTAATTAAATTCTATTTTTAATTTTTCATGATTTTTTGAAGATTTTTCCAACATCACAAATGTATCTCCAGCTACTTAAAAAAAAATAGTAGGTTTAATTTTTCTTATCTTTTCCCCAATCTCACCAAAAAAAATGATAGCAAGGGGCTGTCATTAGATCCCCACAATACAGTCTATCACTTCACCTCAGGAAAAAGGTCCTATACCTATGTTCTTAAATATCCCATAAGACCCTGGGTGTATCCGCATCATCGACAGAGGCTGGGATGTCCCATAAGACCCTGGGTGTATCCTCATCATCAACAGAGGCTGGAATATCCCATAAGACCCTGGGTGTATTGTCATGACAGAGGCTGGGATATCCCATAAGACCCTGGGTGTATCTGCATCATCAACAGAGGCTGAAAGCAAGGAACAAGAGGGGCTGGCTTTTGCCCTTGAAGACAGAACCACCTGGAACCATACTTTGTCTTGAATGCTCTAACAAGCATTACCAAAACTGCGAGCTGGTTCACCTTATCTCAATGAAATTCTCTCAGGCCGTCTCATGCACTCCAACGTCTCTGAACACCATGGGTGCTCATTCAGAAAGGACTGCACACTCACAAAGCTTCACTCTAAGAGTCATTTTTCATAAAGAATTTGGGAGTCCGCCAGGACGGCTGACTGCTTTCATGTTTTACATCATTCCTAGTTTATAAAATGTTACCAGTCATATCAAAGAAGTTCAAATTATCATTCCAAGAACTCAGTTTTCCTTGATACCAAAAATAATGCATCTCCTCCATCCACACTTCTCCCTTCCAACCAACTGTCCTACAAAACCAGTGAGATGGTCACTTCTCAATGAGCAGAGGGCCTGACTTGACTTCTAAAGTCTCAGGAAACCCAGACCCCACTTACTTGGTTCATAGTAATCCACTATAGATACTGAAGCCTCTTGAGTATTTGAAACTTTGAAGTTTCTCTCAGCAGGAATATCAACACAAAACTGGGTTCCATTTACCTTGAAAAAACACAAAAGATTAGAAGGGGCTGTCACACTATAGCTCATGGGAAAAGTCAGAGACTTTTTCTTTCATTTTAGGCTTTCTGCCTGTCAGGTACTATAGTTAAACTGATCTTATTTAAATCCAAAACAATCCTTATAAGATAGGAATGCCTCTTAGTCTTATTTAGTCCCTAAAGGGATTGTCGAGATTTAGAATTATTTAGTAAACATCCAGCCTGTTCCCAGGGCAACCCAAATCCCTCTCAGGCAGAGCATCTCAATTCTAGCTGCTGCTAATGATTGGAAGAGGCCCAGCTCTGCAGACAGTGGTCCGCCTATAGGAGCATTACAGATAGACCTCAGGTGAAGAGGCGCATACCACAATTAATAAGGGCCTGATATTTATATGTGTAAATGACCATGATTTACTCCTGGTGAAATATAAACTGGTCCAGCTATCATGGAAAATCAGTGTGGATGTTTCTATATGCATGTACAAAACACGTATATACATACACATATCCATTATATGTATGCATACACACACATGACCCCATGACAAAGATATACCACTCTTGCATATGTACTGAAGGGACTCTAAGTAGACAATACAGAGATACCTGCCTATCTGTGTTTCTTCCTGCACTTTTCATAAGTCAGGAAATGGAAACAGCCTAGAAGGCCATCAACAAGTGAACAAATAAAGAAAATGTGTATTATATATATGCAATGGAAGGCCAATTTAGCCATAAAGAAAATTAAAATAAAGGCATTTGCAGGAAAAGAGATGGAATTGGAAACTATTGTGTTAAGCAAAGCCAGGCCCAGAGTGATCAATGTGTTTTCTGTCATCTGCAGACGCTAATGTTTCCGCACCAGAGGAGGAGGTGTGAGACATCAAACTAGAAAGGGGGCCACCAGGGAAAAGAGGACAAAGAGCCTGATGTGAGGAAAGGGCCATGGAATTTCTGTGAACTGAAAGCAGAAACTGGGTACTGGGAGAGGTAAGAGGCACTAGTTAGAGTGAGCAGAGCAGAGAAAAAAAATTTACAAAACCGTGGACATATGTAGGTGCCATAATGAAGCTCATTGCTTTGTTTGTCCATTTATGAAAATAATTTTTAAAAGTGATTTTTAAAAGCTGCTTATTGGGGGAGGGGAGATGGCTCAGTCAGTAAAGTGTCTGTTGTGTAAGCACAATTCACGTCCTGAATTCACACCCAAAAAGCCAAGCACGACAGCATGAGCCTGGAATCCAGCACTCAGGAGGTGAAGATAGGCAAATCCCTGGAGCTTGTTGGCTGGCCAGCCTACGTGAATCAGAAGCCCCAAGGTCAATGAGAGAGCCTGACTCAAAACAATAAGGTAGAGAGTAACTGGGAAGACAGCCAATGTCAATCAACTTCTGGTCCCCACATACACATATACACCAAACATACAAATGAAAAAAATAATCTTCCAAATGATTGTATAATATTACACATATATATGTGTGTATGCATAATGCATATGCATGATAGTTCAATAAACAATTACTAAGCTTTTTAAAAAGACCTTCCTTGGCTCATCATTAATAGTAACTTTCATTAATTTCATAGCGAATTTTTTTAAGTTTGTAAGTGTATGTGGTATGTGTATGTCTGTGTGGTGTGCGTGCATTTGTGTGGAGGGGATACATTCGCCTATCCATATGGAAGCCATAAGGATAAGGAAATGGGCATCAAGCATCCTACTCTACCAATCTCCAATTTATTCTTATGACCCAGAGTCTCTCACTGAACCTGGAGCTAGAGTGACAGCCAGTAAGCCCCAGCGATACTCCCGTTTCTGCCCTCCAAAGTGCTGGGGTTGCAAGCTTGTGTGGTCACACCCAGCTTTTTACATGGATCCTGAGGATTGGGACTCAGGTCATCACCTGTGTACAGACAGTTCTCTTACCCACTGAGCCATCTCCCCAGCCCCAATGATGATTTTTTTTTCATAGAAGAAAACATAAAGTTAACATATCAAAATCATTCAAAGACAAAAAGCTTACAGAAAGCATACTTAATGGGTGGCAGGCTTCTAAACACAACACATCAGACATTTACCAACATTAGCTTGATGAAACCTCTTCCTACTTACAGAATCTAAATAAAGGTTGAGTTTTCCGTGATCATATTCTACTTTCTTCACCATCTCACTCAGAGGAACTGCATCTGGAGGGACAGTGAAACCACTGAGCAGGATGACCTCCATGAGGGCCATGCCACTCCTCTTGGAGCCCAAAAATCTACACCAAAGTGATGAAGAAGAAAGAAAAACAAGTGTTCTTTATGCAAAAGTTAAAACTACCAAATATTATTCTAAATACTGTCCTAGCACAAGTAAAATTCACTGTAGGAAATTTTTAAACAACATGTTCTGTTCCTACAGCTAGGGCAGTCTTCCAGCTCTCAGTGACAAGTAGAAGGACAGCTAACTTGGTCCCTTAAATAGGACAGAGTGCCTGCAGTGAAGCAGGTGTGTGCTTGCGGGTTGGAGCGGGTATAACGCACAACCATCCAATCGATTCTAGTGGTGTTTTATACTGGTCCTAAAGTAAATATATCTCAAAACATTGGCATTCTCTCAGAAGTTGACAGCACCTACCTTTCCAGCTTAAATCAACAAATGAAAAAAAGGGGTTCCCTTGGCCACTCGGTGCGAACCCCAGTCTAAGACACAGAGGATTCTCAACCACCATTTTCTGAATGAATGAATCAATCAACCAATCAATCAATCAGAGAGAAAAGTGGGCATATTACTGACTGGAAAGAACTACTCTAGTAAGACCTAAATGAGATGTATGTAAAGATTTTGTTCAATATCTGGCATATAGGTTTGTGATACATATAAATTCCTCCTGTTGATAGTAAATAGTAATTGCATGATGTTTTTATTATTTAATAGAGACCTGGTTAAGAAAGAACAAAGGAAGTCCTATTTCCTTCCCCGCTAAGAAGGAAGGCGCTATAGAAATGGTACTAGTGCCAGCTGCTGGTCAAAATTCACTAGGGGAGGAATGGGGCAAACACATGGAGATGACCCTCATGAAGCATCAGGGGTTTCCAGCCAAACAACATACTGAGTCCAACCACAGTGCCTTGGGATATTTGAAAAGAGCAGACACCAGGTCCTCACAGCCAGGGCCTTCTAACAGTTAGCCTCTCACTGAATACCAACCAATGCTGCCGTGAGAAGACAGACCGATAGAACTGAAATTGTAAATTCTCTTGATTCAACAACTTTCTCATAGTTGTTCTCAAAATCACGTGCACAAGATAACCGAGAAGCTGGGGAGGACAATTTCGCATCTCTACTGCAAAGCCAGCATGTCTGGGGAAAGGAAATCCTCGGGTGCTTTGGATGCAGGCCAATTTTAGAACCACTCTGGGAACTTAAGTTACCAGGACACAATTACCCAAGACCAGAATCTTCTAAACTGAAGTGCTGTCACTACCTAAAACAACTATTCTTCTTGCTAGATTTGCATCCTGTTATAAATTTTGGGCCAAAAGTATAAAAGTTAAAGATAAATCTTAACCCTAAATGAAAGTATTTCAACAACAAAAAAAATAACATTTGTAGCATTAAATATGATTGAATATTTTACAGTTTTCCTAAACTAGGCTTGAGTTTTATTAACTTTTATTTGTATCTCCACTCATCCCTGGATTTTTACTAGATTTATAGCAAGAGGTGTATACCCCCTCACTTGGAGTGGACCTCAAATATAATCATAAAGTGGCTAGTTATCCCCCAAATCCTTGGTCCATTATTGTGCCAATGGGCAAATCTTGCCTGTTGGGTTAGAATTGTAACACACATGATCTACAGCAGGGAGAGACCATTGAGGAGTTTTCTCCGCCTACAGCCTACATAGCACCTACATAGCACAACTTAGGGAAAGCACTGAAAGCTAGCCAGGAGGGAGAGAGCTTCCAGTTCATCCCACCTTGATCTATATGTCCTGTGACCAGAATGTGTAGTGTAGTGCCTTCATCAACGGGGTCTTTACCATCTGTTCTGATGCACCACCAAGAACAAAGGCAAAGCCTGCCTACTTGGGGGTCCTCTGAGACCTCTCCAGGCAACAGTTCCCAGGGAAGTGTCCCACCGCTGGTGCTGAAGTTCTTATTTACAAGTTTATGACAAGATGGCTTGGCTGGTAAATATGTCTGCCATACAAGCTTGGTAGTTAAGAGTTCGAGTCATAGGTGGAAAAGCAGAACCAACTCTTTACAGTTGTTCTCCAACTTCTTAAGAATCTCAGTCCTTGTATCACACACAGCACAGGATCATGAGTGAGCTCATCTCAGCAGAAGGTGCAGCCATCTTGGAGGAGGAAGCTGCTGTTGCTCATTTTTGCACACACTGCCAACACATACTAAAAACATAAGGAGGCTTTGTCATCCGCCTGAGCCTCACCCCAGGGAAAGAAAGGCTTTACCACTTCCATGGGTTGAGACATCAGGCAGCTGACATGGCAGTGCCCATGTCAACAATGTGTTCACTCAGGGCTTTCTAACATTCCCTCAATAAAATTAAGAATTAAATAATTTAATGTTTTTCTACCTACATTTATTGCAAAAACTTATGACCAATTTTAGCATGACTAAAAAGGGTTTAAACTTTCTTACTGTGCTTCTGGTGTGTAATCTGTGGAGTGGTGGGAGGAATGATGAAGTCTCTTAAAAGTGACTCCTTAACTGATCTCATTTGATAACCATACAAATTAAGCCTGCAAATCTATTTTCTTGAAGGCACTTTTAGGCAGGTACCTACCTTGTGCACACATTCAAATTCATGTGATTGACATCATCTTCTTCATCATTCACATCAATCTCTAAATCAAAAGCTTCTTTATTTTCAATAGATCCCCAACTTCTAAAAGAATCTGAACTTTTCACATTATAAACAACATTAAACTGCAATAAATAAAAAAAACGGCATAAGTGAAGTCATGGATCTCGGAGGAAAACCAACAACTACCACTTTATTAAAGCACCAAATGTCCTAACTACATTATAAATATTTGTCCTTATAGCCACAGATTTCCTTCCCCATCAAAAACACTATTTTTGAAAATTAACATCTGGGATAAACTAGCAGTAAGGTGTTTGCTATAGTCTAAGTAGTAGGTAATAATTCTTTCTGTAATGAAGTCAATTAGATTTATAGTCAAACTAAAAATAAACAGCTAAAAAAAGCATCATTATCCAATGCTTTTATAAATGTTTGTCATTTTTATTGAGAAAACTATTAGACAATATTGCAAAGTAAATGGCAGAATACCAGAGATGATGCTTATGGATTATTTTCTCAAGGAATGGAAGACATTCTCTTGAGGATAAAAGGGAAAGCTACAGACAACTTTCTTGAAAGTATTTACTGATATATAATTAATTTCCTAATTTCTAAGTTTTGTTACCCAAATGGAACCTTGGAAACTCCCAGTAAGACAAATCAAACTAAAACACCACCTGTCCAACTGCCGAGGATTTTTTCTCATCGTAAAACATTTTTCAATGATAAAACAAGTGACAGACTTCAGTCCACTGAGTCTTCTTCAGCACCCCCTCTGTGCCTGTCTCTGATGTGAAAGGTGCCATGGGCACACTGGAGCCGTACAAGGACCAGTGTCTGTCTCAAAGCCACGCTAAATCTGAAGCTTGGCAATGCACTCACATTGTCCTAGCTTGCCTGAGCCTAAACAAACAGAACTTTTAACTATTTAATGCACCCATTTATTTTGGAACCAAGTTTATAAATTTTACTATTACTATGTTATACTGAATTTCCCTTTAATTCTACTTGAATCGTAGGCATAAAAACGCACACACCTCAGAAGCAAACATCTAGAACCCTTCTCAGATGTTTACACCTTAAATTATCTCTTGCTAAGCCTTCTCTCCTCAAACCTAAGAGCTCTAACCCTTTTTTTGCCACAACAGTAATTTGCATCATCTTTCTGATTGAGGTACTCTGGACATTTTCCAACTCTTTTTTAAACTACAGCAATTAATGCTGAGTATAATATAACTGGGACGACTGCTAGAGCAGCTCTCTGACCTCTAAGCGCTGTATGTTGCCTGCAGTCTTTCCATGGCGTGCGACTGTCCCTTTAGGGACTAGTGTCATGAAGCAAGAGGATTAGGCTCGTCATTACGGCAATGATTAATATCTATCTCTAAGTATTGAAGGTGATAGGCGGCTGGCGGGAAAGCTCAGCCAGCCACTCACAGAACTTCAAAAGAAGCCATTCATCATTGCTTAGAGTTTTAGAACCCAAGTTAGTGAACACCTACTACAAGCCTGAGCACTTTCTTTCCAGGGCACTGATAAAAATAGTAACAATGACTATCTTAATTCTCATTTCTGCATGATTAATATTTTTATATTTTTCCCTCTTTCATGAGAAAAGGCTATCAGTCCCTCTCTCTTCTGAATTTTGATACAGACACTGGCTAGCAAACATTCTGACCAAAAGGTCTGCATTTGCCACTGCCCTTCAAACCTCAAGCAACAGTCATTTAATTCAATGATTTGTCTACACGTCATTGACCAAAACAGCTTCCAACAACGCTGTAATTCCAACAAATGTGATGATTAAAGAATACTAAGTTCCCAGGACTTCAGGATTGACTTTTTACAATGAACGGCAGTTTTGGGATGAAGAGTTTTCTACGGTCTTCAATAAAGATCCACAAAAATTATCCTGTTTTTCTTTCCTTCTCATGGAAAAACATTCCGCTTCACTTTAATTATTCTTCCTTGGTGTTTTTAAAAGATGCTTTCTGTGCCTTGAGTATCAGGCAAAATGATCTTAGAGGGCCAGAGAGGTGCTTCAGCCAATCAACATGCTTACTGCATAAGCCTGAGCATCTTAGTTCTTCCTTCAGAGCCCACAGTGCAGGGAGAAAGCAGACCTCCTCACATGCACAAGGGTACATGTGCACCAATACACACACACGCGCATGCACGCCAAAAATAAATAAATAAATAAATTGTTCCTTCCAGAAATCTTAGAAATTATTTGGCAGCTTCCAAATTATATGTGTTTGATAAAGTGTGTCTTTCCTATTGTACGGTATATGCAGCTGTGTTAGTTAGCTTTCTTCAGCTTGACACAAATGTAGACTTCCAGAAAGAGGAAATTTCAGTGGAGAAATTACCTCCATTCGATTGACCTGCGGCCATGTCTGAGGGACAGGCATATTTTGATTAATGTTTGATCTGAGAGGGCCAAGGAACCCTGGGCAAGTGGCCCTGTGCTGTATAAGAAAACAAAACGAGTAAGCCAAAGGAGAAAGCCGGTGAGCCGAACTCCTCCATGGCCTCGGCTTCGGTTCCTGCCTCCCCGGCCCTGCCCTGACTTTCCTCGGTCATGGTCTGTAACTGGAATGAGAAAGCAAATGAACCCCTACCTTCCCAGTCACTTTGGACCACTGTTTTTCACAGCAAGAGAAAGCAAAGAAGATGCTGCCCTCTCAACAGGAGTAACCGTACCAGTATTTTTAAAAAGAGAGAAAACTGGGAGAGACAATGGACAGGATAAGTGTGCATAACTAAGGACATGAATATGATCAAAACAGGTTATACATATTTATGAAAATGTCATACTAAAACCTATTTAATATAATTAATAGGTTTTAAAAATACCTTTTCTCTCTAGTAGACATTTTATTACCTTCTAAGTGGTTGCTCGGTTTGTTTCCCCCAAGTCAGAATCATTTTTGGCCTTATCGTTGATTCTCTTGGGTTTCCATTAGTATTATTTTAAAGACTCTATGCTATGTTTTTAGGGTAATCACTCCAGTCAGTACTTTCCATACTATCTCCTTTTTAATTCCAGCACTTATTACGCCTTCAAAAGCAGGTTTGTGGGCATTTTCATCCTATATCATGACTCCAAACATAATAATGCTTGAATTTTTAAATTTGTTATTTTATGAGGTTTTACCATAAGGAAATGCATTGTCTATCAACTTACAAACCATACTGACCTCATATTCTTAGATAAATATTAAGAATTTATAAGTAAAATACATATTTGTTATCAGGTAAACACAACATGAATTCTATCAACTATCAACATTGTAATTTTTTAGACTCATTTTAAATTTTAATGATGTATGTGTGCGTGTGTGTTTGCATGTGTGTGTATGCACATGTGTGTGTGAGCACATACACAGAGGTTAGAGGTGCAGGATCCTTCTAGAGTTGAAGGTATAGGCAGTTGTGAGCACCTCACACGGGTCCTTTGGAAGAGCAGTATTTGCCCTTAACCACTAAACCATCTCTATAGCCCGTTAACATCATAATTTCTGAATTGTCTTCCAAATACGACAAAAAATGTAGAAACCAGGCAAGGTGGCACATGCCTGAAATCCCAGCACGTGGGAGACTGAGGCAGGAGGACCACAGGTTTGAGAGCAGTTTGGATTATAATTTGAGTATATTACTAACTGTGTCTGCATAGCAAGACTGTGCCTCCCAGCTGTTCACATAAATCACACTGGAGGATTTCAACACTACCTTCAAAAAGCAAGTAATCTCCAAGAGATGTTTTTCAAGCAGATTGTCAACACAAGTAAGTATTGTCTACGCACTAGTTAGTAACATCTCCAATACTTATTAAAGAAAAAAAATATATCATGCCGAAGTCACAGAAACAAATTGTTAAAAATTCTATTTTATTTTTATTATATTTTCACTTATTTATTGTGAGTAAATCAAATGCTTGGCATATCATTTGTGTATATGTCAAAGGACAAATTGAGGCAGTAGGTTTCCTCCTCCCACCACATGGGTCCCAAGGATCAAAGTCAAGCTTGAGAGCAAGCGCCTTTATTGACTGCGCCATCTTGCCAGCCCTCAACAAGAATTTCACACAAGCTATCTAAGTTAAAGTTTTAGCAAAGAATTGTTACTAAAGGTCACATTTAACTGCAAAAATAGGCCATCATATATACATACCTGGCAAATAGCAAATCCCAAACCACGAGCAGAAATATGAACTTCTGTGGGCTCCAGCGCAGCAAGCTAAAGGAGAGAGAGAGAGAGAGAGAGAGAGAGAGAGAGAGAGAGAGAGATATGAAGTTTCCATAGCCATCTCCTACCCAGGAGCATGCAAGTTTGGTGCTATGTCCCACGCTAGAAGCAGAGGCAGTCCTGGAGAATGCTGGCTCCTCTGCCTGGTCCTAAATATCAAAGGCTCAACCAGTTGACCTGGGTGAAGTATGCTCTCCACGCTCTCTCACCTCAAACCTTTGGGAAGGTACATGGGTGCCCCTGACTAGACTGCCCTCCTGTTGGGGTTGAAGCAGGTCTCCCCTGACCTCCCTTCATCGGGGCTGACCATGAACACAATGGTACGTACTCCCTGTGTCCAGCTATAGCCGTTTGTCCTGTGCCATGGCCCCTCTCCTTCACTTAGCTCTCAGCATAATCTTTATTGCATTTTGAAGTAAGAATTTGAGTCAGGTGTGGTAGCACATGCCTGTACTCCCAGCACCCAGGAGGCAGAAGAGTTCTGAGACCAGCTCTACTACTGTCAGCACGGTCCCTCGGCCAGCTCTCTCATTGTCAAATGGGGGCACACATGGCCTGAAGAACAAACGTAGGAGCATGCCAACTCTAAGCTACCACGGGGACTATGCAAAGCTGGGACTCAGTGACTGTCACTCCTCCCCAGTGTAATCGTGCCCATATTATCTTCTTTTCTCCCCATCGTTCTTCCCAAGTTCCCATCCCTTCCGTCCTTCCTGAGTTCAAACATTGGAACCTGGAACCAAAACAAGACAACCCATCAATCTCCATGTCTCCATGGGGCTCTGAAAACAATTCTTTGCTGAAGTCAGAAGACCAAAATCAAAGTAGTATTCAAGAATAATGAACCATCTACACAGGGTTTTAAATGGCCACCCCATCTACACCTCTGCCGTGTGAAGGAGAAAACGGTTCTGTGTGTCAATCCGAAAGTGTACAGGTCTCGGTGCGCTGGGCCCTGTGACAGTCACTTGGATATCTGTATTTTCCGTGTGTATTAGGGCTGAAAACTCAGAGAGGGCCTTCAGGGCCACAACAGTATCCTGTTGAGAGAAGAAAAATGATTGTACATTTTGAGAAACAGCCAGCAAGCTCTCTAAAGAAAACATTCGGCAGTATTTGGGAAGCTCCAGCCTTGCGAGAAGACTGCTTCCTGGGGCCTCTGTGGCTCTCGTGCTCGAAGCGCATGACCTGAGAGACTGATCTGAGCAATGGGCTCCAGCCGGTCGCCATGGACACAGAACAGCGGATACAGACGTGGCACTGGTGTATTCAATTAACATACCATGAGGCTCAAGTGGGATGATCATTAAAATTACCACCTTATACCTTTCATTTAGCTCACTGAACTTGTAATCATACGACTCTATGAAGAAACAGATATGTTCTTCATTGATATTTTTAAACTACAATCGCCTCTCACCTGAGTGGACACAAAGCCTCCGAGGCTATTCCTCTGCCTGCTGAGCCACCTCATGACGGGGATGCCCTCAGAAACATGGTGCTGCAGGTAGGAGAGCAGCGCATAGGCCGCAACTTCAATATCCAGGGAGAGCGGCTGCCAGGACTCCGAAAGTGCGGGTGCTGATGAGAGCCAGAACTGTGTGTCTCCTGAGAGGAAAAGAGAACAGAGTGGGCAGCTACCAAAAGCTGACGTCTTCGACCATTAAATATTTCTGTACCAGTCCAGTCTATCTGACTAGCAAAAAAAGCAGGTTTTATAGATACATATAATATATATGCCAGTATATGCATATACAAGCATACATAAACATGCATTATATGTTGCGTTTTAAACTATTACAATGTATAAATGTCCATCCTTTCCTTGTTGCCTGCATTGGAGAATGTTTTAAAATATTTTCCCAAAGGAAGTACCATATGTTTAGTATAAGACTAAACAGTTATAAATAAGAAAGATAGATATGTGGTGCGTGTGTGTGTGTGTGTGTGTGTGTGTGTGTGTAATTTTCCTCCCCCAAATAGTTTAAGGTACTTGGGGAAAAATTCTGTTCCATAATTCATGTTCTGAAAACCTCTCCCTTTTTAATCTCTTCTCAAAGTTTTTGGTATAAATTCAAAATTCCAGTCCCAAGAAAAACTGAGCGACCCCAGCCAGGCCAGCAACCTTCTTGCAATAATCCTGCTCTAGCTCGCTAGAGCATCCCGGGCGGTGGCCCTCTGCTTTCTCCCGTCTACAAGGACTGAAGTGATCCCGTCACGGTGGAATGTGGAAGACGTCGGACTGTGGCCCAAAACAGAACAAATGGCATGTCCCACTTCAGCTTCCATACAACAGTCAACTCCTCAACCCCGGAGCAAGGAATAAGGACTGAATCTGAATTATTAACATTAATGTTTCTACAACTATTTTTTGAGAATTATCACCATGAATTTGCGTGTGTGTGCATGTGCACACACATGTGTTTGTGTGTTTGTGTATGCTAACGGAGGCCAGAAAAGAGCATTGGGGTTATGGGCCTTCGCGAGCTGCCCAGCTCGGGTGCTAAGATGGAAACTTTAGTCCTCATGACAGAGTGGCAAGTGCTCTTAACCGCCCAGCATCTCTCCAGCCCCGTGTTATCCTTTGTGAATAAACACAACTTTGAATCTAAAGTTACTTACATACAGCAACTCAACCTAAGACACACTTTGACCTCTGACTACTTTATAGGGACTTTTGGATAAATAACATCAGAAACTCAAAGAGAAATTCAAGGGAGAACCTCTCTAAAATAAGATGCCTGGTGATCAAGAAGGTTTCATCCCAGAGATGCAGAGATGGTTCAACATACGAAAATCTGTCAATGTAATCTACCATATAAACAAACTGAAAAAAAAAACACATGGTCATCTCATGAGATGCTGAAAAAGTCTTTGACAAAACCCAACACCCCTTCATGTAAAGGTTCTGGAGAGATCAGGGATACAAGAAACATACTTAGGCATAATAAAAGCAATACAGCCAATATCAAATTAAATCAAGAGAAACTCAAAGCAATGCCGCTAAAATCAGGAACAAGACAAGGCTGTCCATTTTCTCCATATCTATTCAATATAGTACTCAAAAAGTTCTAGCTAGAGCAACAAGACAACAAGGGGATACAAATTGGGAAGGAAGAAGTCAAACTTTTACGGTTTGCAGATGATATGATAGTATACATAAGTGACCCCAAAAATTCTATGAGGGAACTCCTGTTGGCGGAGACTGCTCGCTCATTTCCTGGCCATCCAGACCCAAAATAATCAAACAGAAACATATTAATTGCAATATTGTTTGATCAATAGCTTAAGCATATTTCTAGCTAGCTCTTACATTTTAAAATAACCCATTTCTATTATTTTATATTTTACCATGGTACAAGTGCATGGGCATCTTTCTCCTCCTGTGACTACAGGTCTCCCTGACTCCACCTTCTTTCCCCTCTATCTGCTTAGAATACCTGCCTTACTCAATTCTGCCCTGCTGTAGGCCAAAGCAGCTTTATTCATTTACCAATGGTATTCACAGCATACAGAGCGGAATCCCACATCAAACTACTAAATAAACATCTTTAGTAATATGGTTGGATACAAGATTAACTCAAAAAACATCAGTAGCCCTCCTATACACAAATAACAAATGGGCTGAGAATGAAATCAGAGAAACAAGACCTTTTACAAATAATATATCTTAGGGTAATTCTAACCAAGCAAGTAAAAGACCTGTGTGGCAAGAACTTTAAGTCTTTGAAGAAAGAGATTGGAGACAACATCAAAAAATGGAAAGATCTCCCATGCTCGTAGATCGGTAGGCTTAGCATAGTAAAAGTGGCAATCTTACCAAAAGCTATCTATAGATTAAATGCAATCCCCATCAGAATCCTAACACAACTCTTCATAGACCTTGAAAGAACAATACTCAATCATTTGGAAAAAAACAAAACACCCAGGATAGCTAAAACAATCCTGTATACTAAAGGAACTTCCAGAGGCATCAACATTTCTGACCTCAAGTTCTGCTATAGAGCCATAGTAATAAAAAAAAAAAACCCAGAAGCATGGCATTGGCATAAAAACAGACAGGAGGATCAATGGAATCAAATCAAAGACCCTGATATCCACACATCTATGAACACCTGATTTTTGACAAAGAAGCCAAAATCATACAATAGAAAAAGAAAACATCTTCAATAAATGGTGCTGGCATAACTGGATGCTCACATGTAGAAGAATGCAAATAAATCCATATCTATCATCCTGCACAAAACTCAAGCTCAAATGGATCAAAGACCTCAACATAAATCCAGTTACACTGGACCTGATAGAAAAGAAAGTAGGAAGTAGCCTTGAATGAATTGGCACAGGAGACAACTTCCTGAATATAATACCAGTAGCACAAACACAGATTTACAATTAATAAATGGGACTCCTTAAACTGAGAAGCTTCTGTAAGGTAAAAGACACTGTCAATAATACAAAACGGCAGCCTACTGAATATGAAAATATCTTACCAACCCCCACATCTGACAGAGGACTGATTTCCAAAATACATAAATAACTCAAGAAACTAGACATCAAAATACCAAATAATCAAATTAAGAAATGGTGAACTGATTTAAACAGAATTCTCAACAGAAGAATCCCAAATGGTCAAGAAACACTTAAAGAATTGTTCAACATCCTTAGTTATCAAGGAAATGCAAATCAAAACAATTCTGAAATACCATCACACCTGTCAGACCAAAAACCACTCATGAAAACCTATGCTAGAGAGAATGTGGGGTAAAGGGAACACACCTCCACTGATGGTAGGAGTGCAAACTTGTACAGCCACTTTAGAAATCAGTATGATGGTTTCTCAGAAAATTGGGAATCAATCTACCTTAAGACCCAGCTATACCAATCTTGGGCCTATACCCAAAGGATGCTCAATCATAACACAAGGATACTTGCTCAACTATGTTCATAGCAGCAATATTCATAATAGCCAGAACCTGGAAACAAACTAGATGCCTCTCAACCAAAGAATGGATTAAAAAAAAAATGTGGTACATTTACACAATGGAGTATTACTCAGGAGTGAAAAACAATGACATGAAATTTGCAGGCAAATGGATGGAACTAGAAAAAAAAAAAACATCCTGAGTTAAGTAACCCAAACCCAGAAAGACAAACATGGTACAGGTATTAGTTGTAAAGCAAAGGATAACCAGGCTACCATCCACAACCCCGGAGAAGGACCCTAAAAGGGATGCATGGATTTCCCTAGGAAGGGGAAATATATGAGATCTCCTGGGTAAACTGGGGGTGGGGGGGGGCGTGTGGAGGGGAGGGAATGGGGGTACAGGAACATGAGGAATCAGGTTGGTTGAATTGGAGGTGGGATGGGAAGGGGGGTAATGGGAATAAGTATTTTCATAGAGGGGGCCATGTAGGGGTTAGAGAGACACCTGGTGTTAGGGAAACTCCCAGGAATCCACAAAGATGTCCCCAGCTAAGACTCCTGGCAATAGTGGAGAGGGTACCTGAACTGGCCTTCTCCTCTAATCAAATTGGCGACTACCCTAACTGTCACCAGAGAGCCTTCATCCAGCAACTGATGGAAGCAGATGGAGCAACCTACAGCCAAGCACTGGGCTGAGCTCCTAGAGTCTACCTGAAGAGAGGGAGGAAGGTATGAACAGAGAGGGTCAAGCTCATGCTGGGGGAACCCGCAGAGACAGCTGATCTAGGCTATTGGGAGCTCACAGACACTGGGCCGACAGCTAGGGAGCCTGCAAAGGACCTACTTAGGCCCTCCACATGGGGGTGACAGTTGTGTAGCGTGGTCTGTTTGTGGGACCCCAGGCAGTGGGATTAGGATCTATCCCTGGTGCATGAGCTGGATTTTTGAAACCTATTCCCCAGGATGGGATGCCTCACCCGACCTTGATGCAGGGAGAGGAACCTGGTCCTGCCTCAACTTATTATGCCTTGCTCTGTTGACTCCCATGGGAGACCTGCCCCTTTGTGAATGGAAGAGGAGTGAATGGGTTTAGACAGGGGGTGGGGGAGGGAAAAGGAAGAGAGGAGGGAGGGGAAACTGTGGTTGGTATGCAAAATAAATGAAAAAAATTAATAAAAAGAAAAGGAAGATGCATGGTTTCTCGCAACTAGCAATCAGCTTAACTCCAGTTCCAGGGAGTACACTGCCCTCTTCTGGATTCTGTGGGTACTGCAAGCACACAGTGCGCAGACATATATGCAGGCAAAATACCCATACAAAATTGATAGACAGACTAATTTTTATAAAAAATGTCCAAGTCCAATGTCTAAAGTTCTATAAACAGCTCCCGGAGAGGCAAGACACAATAAAACACACAGACCCCATGCTGGCATTGCCCTGCTTTGTGTTTTTTATATCATTCTAAAGACAGGTGTTACCAATGTCATCGTTAACACATGCTTTTTTCACATCTATTCCACGAAGCCCGGCATTCTTCTCAGCCGCCATCCCAGACATTACCTTCCTTCTCGGCTTGCTGAGTCAGCAGGTGCAAAGCATCTTCCGCTTTAGGACTCCCCGCTGAAGACAAGGCATAGGTTACAAGGGCCAAAGTGAAATTGTCGGAAATTCCTCTGTTCAGTTCAGACTCCAAAAACTTGATAGAGGCTTGGACATCGACACCAGGCTTGGAAGAATAATACACATATATCACTACTCCTCATATGTAAATAAAAAGTACATTCAAACATTCACTCAAATAATGATTCCAGGCCTGGTAAGCATTTGACCTCGGTGTGGGCAATAGGAATCAACAATGCCCACTGACATGTAAGTACCTGCCATATAGTCTGAATGACAGTTCTGTTCGTTAGCTATAATTAAGTAGACACTATTCTTTAAAGGGGATTTAAAAAAAAAACTTCTGCAAACTTTTTATCCTGCTGAGTACTATAAGTCCAAATAGCAGAAGAAAATATAACTTCAGAAATACGCTTCTCGTACTTATTACTAGGAATTGAATCGCTAAGCTCAGAGAAAAGTGTGCCTTCCACTGACCTCATCCTGAGCTAGAAAAGTAGTCAGGGCTTCATTATTACTCCATAAAAGCTTAAAGATCTAAATAAAGAAAAGAAATCATTTAAAATTCCTGAGACCCTAGCTCAGCAGGGTGCATGCCTCCATAAGCAACACCCTGGGCTCAGTTCTTAGCATTGTAAAAGAAAACAGAAAATCCTTCCCCTCAGCTTGCTAGGACACAGTCCCAAATTCTAAAGTACAAGCTTTCTCCTTACAATAAAATATAAATATTACTGACTTCTATTACCAATAGCAAGCACAATGCATATATTTAAGAACCTTGTACATTCCCCTAAGCTACTCTAAAAGCTTTGGTTATTATTTTTCTCCAGATTTTGGAACGTGGCCCCAAGTGTACAGTGCAGGGCTATGTGAATGCAGATTTCAAATGCAATGTAAAACTACAAAGCACTTTCCATTCCAAGACACATATTTGACCCAGGAGCATGCACACTCCTGGGATTTGCAGAAAATTGCATACCTGGTATCTTCTGTAGCCCAGGAGAGAAGTCACAATATAGGCTGTAAGTGTCACAGGGCTTTTGTTGCCTCCTTGAAGTTCACTGTGGATCACTCTTCCTGGCTCCCAAAATTCACCATTGGATTTCTGATGCTCCTTGAGCCAATTATATGTTCTTTGTAGCACATTCGGATCAATATGTATGTAGGAGTCAGCTTCCGTGAAACATTTTAAAACAAATGCTGACAGCCTTGGAGAAAGGAGGGGGAAACACAAAATACATTTAAGTCCTGACCTCTCACGCTGAGCACACAAAACAAAAACACCATCCCTCCAGAAAAATTCACCAGACGTAGCATCCCAAAGGAAAAACCGGAAGACTGCAAAGAGACAACCTGATCAACTTGTCATAGCAGGTGGACCTGGCTCTCATCTGAACACAGCTCAGAAATTTTAGATCAACTCACAAAATATCCCATTTGGAAATAAATTTAGGAATCACCTAATTGCTACTTGGAAATAATTTTGTTCCGGCATTTTACAGGTTGAGAATCCATCCTTTCATGATAGTTGAATTGCCCAACAATACACTTCTGACTGTGCTAGGCAAGCACCACAAAAACCCTCATCATGTGTAGCCCAAGGCTGTCGATAAAATTGGTGGAGTTCACAAGCAGACTTCACACTGTAAGTGAGAGTAATGGGGGTGGGGGGGAGTCAGTACCATAGGATGGTTGAATAAGGGTCAAATCGGCGTGAGCAACGTGTGTATGACTACCACCTGCCACCAATACCTAGGAATGATGAGTGTGTGTGTGTGTGTGTGTGTGTGTGTGTGTGTGTGCATGCGTGCGTGTGTCTGTGTGACGCGCGCTGCCACCTGTGTGAGTAGGGAGGTGTGCCTGTGTGCGCCTGTGGTAGCAGCCCAAAGGCAACACTGAAAGTCTTCCCTCTTTCACTCTTACCTTTATTCTTTGAGACAGGGTATCTCACTGAACATGCATTTTACCAGGTGTGCCAAACTGGGTGGCCAAGGAGCCATCTCCACACACACCAATTAATCCTAATCCCTTCCACCGCAAACCTGAGGTAACAGGCACATGTCACCATCCTCAGCTTTTTACACAGGTTCTAGAATCCAAACTCAGTTCTCATGCTCGCATGATAGGAACGGTACTAAGTACCATCTCCACCAACCTAGAAATGATGTCTAAAGAGAGGAAGAAAGGAAATTTAAAAAAAGAATAGCATAGAAGTAAGAAGTGTGAAGGGGGAAAGAAGATATACAGATATAGATATGCACACACATACACACACACACACATACGAGAGAAGATACGTATGAGGAGAAAAAAGGTAGAAAAGTTGACAGGTAGGTTTTGTAAAAGTGGAAGGCAGAAGGGGAGATTGTCCAATAGAGACCCCTCATGACAGAAATGCCTAGTATTTATTGTACTAGGTGACACTGTACAGAATCATGACACACAACACTACATGTGTAGGGAAGGGTACAAACGTGAGACGGGCTCTCAGTCTGTAGCTCCTGCTGGCCTCGGTTCTCACACCCACACATCCCAAGGGCTGGCATCATATGCACAAGCCACTGCGCCCAGCAAGAAGAGCATAGTAATGTGTGAACACCACCAAGTGGCACAGTAAAGAGACGTGTGTACAGACTGACACCCTGACTCCAGGACAAGGGAAAACCCAAAGAGATCTGTCTCGTCATGGCTTAGTGTGGTGGACATGTGCAGTAGCATCCAGGTCTCTCCCACTGTAAGAGGACCAAGGAGACCTCCTCAGCCCTGAAGTCAGCCACCACTACGGAACAAGGTGCCAGGTCAACTGTCCCAAACCAACCACAAGCATTCCATGCAAGAGGAAAGTTGAGCTACTCATTACTTAATCCCATCATCGTTTTTTTTTCAAGAAATATGATCTTTTTGTTTGTTTGTTTTTGTTTTTTGTTTTTTGTTTTTCTCTGTAGCTTTGGTGCCTATCCTGGAACTAGCTCTTGTAGACCCGGCTGGCCTCAAACTCACAGAAATCCTCCTGCCTCCGCCTCCCGAGTGCTGGAATTAAAGGCATGTGCCACCATTGCCAAGTTAAGAAATATGATCTTAAAAACAAAACCACAACAATTGTTTTAACAAAGCCTTGTACTAATAAATCAAATATGGCAAGGCCAACATCACACAGCATTTTTTCCTTGTTATTTGTACCATTATCTTAAACGATTTTTGTCTCTGCTTTTTCCCTCAGAAAAAAAAAAAGAAAAAAAGGAGTTATGGGTTGTTTTGTTTTGTTTTCTGAATAGAACGCATTTGACTTGGAAATGCTTTAGAATCATGTTGTTGTTGTTTTTTAAGAAACCTCTTTTAAAGGCAGGTTCTGTAACAAGCAGCTGCAGCGTCCACACAGACAGGAATATCCACGGCCACTGTGACCTAGTATACACATGTTCCATGATACAGATTTGTTTAATTTAAAAAAAAAAAAGTCACTTACCAAGTACTCCCAGAAGGGTCGCTATCCCCAAAAGCACTGAAGGAGCCATCTTTCCTCTGATAGAGAAGTTCCCTTTGATAACCTGAAGACACAAAAATCCATGTATAATCAATCCATTTGCTATGGCTTCTTGTTGGGGCCACTGGAGTAATATCGAATGATTATTAGTAATATCAAACACCCTTCTAGCCACCCAAAAGCAAGCAAAGTCAAGGTCAAGCTTTATCCACTTCTAGTATTCCCCAAAAGGCTTTCTCTGCTTGACTATCTAAACTGTCTACTCTCTTCAGCGTCAGAATTAAAGCTTAGGGCCAAACAGAAAGGACAGGTGATTTCTGTCCCTTAGGCTGGAGAGAGAGAGGGAAAATAATGATCAAAGGCAGAGTTTCTTAAATGACTTGGTCATGAACCCCTGAGGGAAATGATGAAACCAACTGTCTGCTTCCACGCCAATTCCACACTTCATATTTATACACACACATATGCACACACACACGCAGTGGTTGTAATGAAGTATTACTGTATAAGTAAATGAGGATTGCTGTGGAGACTACTCAGCCATAGAATGCTCACCAGGCAAGCATGAAGACCTGAGTTCAGATCCCAGTCACCTACCCCAAAAGCTGGGCACAGAGCCATGCACCTGTAACCCCAGAACTGGGGAGCAGACACAGGGAATACCTGGAATTTGCTGGTCAGTCAATGAACTTGAGGGGGAAAAAAGTGGAGAAATGATTGAGGAGACCTGATGTCAGCCTCTGGACTCCACATGTGAACATGCACGCATGCACCCCTATACACAGCATTCGTACACAAATATGCACACTGAAATAAAGCAAACTGGGGAGTAGTTAAGGCTCGTGTATCTGTTTTAATGAAAGCAGAGGCTTCGTACTTCCAAATAAATGATTTCAAATAAAGGGGGGTTGGTTCGTGATTGCAAAGACTTCGAAGTCCAGGGTTAGAACTCATGTGACTTGCCCACTGCCTCACCCACCTGCCTCTTCAGCCTGCCTCTCCCGTATCTACCTCTCCTGTGTCTGCCTCTCCCATGAAGACTCAAGCTTTTCTCCCTCGGTTGTCCACTACAAATCCTGATCTGAGCATCCGGAGTAAGGTATAAGACAGAACAGTATGTTTCACAGTGATATTTGAAGCCAAAAAAATAAATAAATAAATAAATAAATAAATAAATAAATAAATAAATAGAAATATATACACATTTAAAGTTAAAGACACTTTTTCTTAATTTTATGAAGAAAAATTTCAGGTTGTAATCTTCATGTTTATACCTGAAATACTACTGTTGTATAATTAAATAGCAAATCTTCATTTTGTGCTCACTAGGGATAAAGAACTGTGAGAAGACCCTTACAAGTACTAACTTGGGTGAGTCTAACACAGGTGACCACTCTCCAACACTCCCCATCATGGTCAAAAACCAACCTTATTCCCCACCAAGGGCATCCAGTCCCAAGGAAAATAGGAGCTGCAGCATCTTCAGTGGCAGAGTAGATTAATAAGCAGGTCCCAGACCTCCAGCTCTGTTCCCATGGAAACACAAAGGAAGAAGTGCCTGGGAGAAGAGCCGGTTTGACTCTCAACTCTTTGGGTCTCTGTTGAGACTGCCTTTGTCACATTCTAAGCCAGCCAGGCACGCTTAGAGAACCTTTGACTGCTTGTCCTCCCAAACAACTGCCTATATCAAGCCTAATTTCTACTCTATTAGCAGAAAAAGATACTGATGTCATAGCCATGGTGTTTATTGTTAATATAACAATCTACATACCACTGTAGATACCAAAGTTGGAGATTTTTCATCACGGTAAATGAGCAAGTTAGAAGCTTGGTTTTCTCCAAAAGTTTACCAAGGAACAAGAGCAACACTTTCAAGTTCACATAGCTCTTTGGTTTGGAAAATAATAATATAATCAGAATTATCAGACATTTCTTAAAATTAAAATATACAAGTTGGGATAACAACCTATAAACTGTTGTTTACAATGGGCTGGATAAGATGCAAATTTTCCCGGGTCATGAGTTTTCTTTGGAGTAATTATGGATGTAAAGTAGCTACAACTTATCAGGCTAAAGATGAAAGTACTGTTTGCAGAAACAAATAAAAAAGAACACCCCAGGGCTGGCATGTAGCTCAGCAGTATAACACGTTCCCAGGCTGAGGGTTCAGTTCTGAGAGGAAGGCAGAGAATGTTATAATAAAGGAAAACCTATGTTTTCAACTAGACTCTGTCTGAATCTCACATGGGAAAACAAACAGCAAGAGTTTTTAATTTAAATATCTGAAGACAAGGATCCTCGAGCAGATTCAACAGATAGAGGCACATGCTACCAATCCTGAGGACGTGAGTTCGATTCCCAATACCCACATCCGGAAGATGAAAACCAATTCCCAAAAGTCATTCTCTGAACTCTACACACACACACACATACACACACACACCTAGACACCCACATACACAAAATAAAAAATAAATAAAATGCAATAAAAATAAGTTTCTGAGGGAAATAAGCAGTTTAACCCTTCAATTAACAAACAAGTTCGGAATTTCTAGTCCTTGTCAGAAACAGTTTTGTTTGACAGTTCTTTCTTTCCTTGACAGCAAAATGTATGGCACACAAAGATGCAGCTGTTGGCTACAGGACCCCTGGGCCACCAGGACTTAAACAAGGCAATGTGCTGTTCCCAAGTGACATTGAAATGACCATAATTCACACAAAAGTACATCAATGCCTTAAAAGATAAAAACATATTTACAAGACTTAAAAGCTAGTGTGTGAAGTGAGACGCTGATGTCACAATGAAGAATGATGTCAGGAAACATTTCCCCCTCTGGTTCAGACGGAATCTGTGGGGCAAGACAGAAACACTGGTTCCACTCGTTCCTGGCTGGTAAGGACGTGCCAAATCTAGGTAGAATGGTTAGTGTCTACAGGTAATCCCTGCGGTGAAGGACTGCAGAATTCTCCTAGTCCTGGCCTCCATACTAGAAAGATGAACTTAAAAGAGTCCAAGCAGTTGGTGGTGATGGTTCATCCACATTCAGCACTTACTGGGGTGCCCACGTGGTCATACCATGAGGAAGGGGCGAGTTAGACACAGGACTCACCACTGGAGTATTAATACAGATGATGATCGGGGTAGTTTTAAACAATGTTAAGGGAAGACTCTAAACCAGAGCAATACAGATGATATGATCTTAAAAAGAAAGCTGAGAAAAGTAACCAAAATGATACAGTCTAGGGGCCTTGATAGAGATCTTTTCCTCTGCCAGCTAAAGAATTAAGAGGCAGGGAAAATCTGAAGCACAGCAGGAAGCAGCAGAGAGATCTCAGATAGGAGCAAAAGTTGAAGAAGGATTTTCTTGGGGCCAGGAAACACACACACACACACACACACACACACACACACACACACGCAGCAGGCACACTGACAAAAAGACCCTCTGCGAGGAGGGACTGGGAAGCCGGAAACTCCAGTCTCTTTCTGAGGGCTGTGGTTTTAAAATCTCCTCTCCTCATTTAGGGCTGATCATTTAAAGACAGATAGCATGGCTGATTGGCCCAGAGGTGTGATGTGGGCGGCTCTGCTGGTGGGAGACAAAAGCCTATACCGCCTTTGTTTTAAGCTGTTAGGCTTTTCTCTCAAGTCAGGAAGCTGAGGTAGAAGCCCGCCATCTTGGAAATCTGGCACCTTTATTACCTAGACTTGGCCCCTCTCCCTATCTGTCTGCTTAACAGGGAGTCTAATTCTTGGTCTCTCAATACCATGTAATTACTTTTATTATTTCATCTTATAGGTGGGAAACTGAAACTGAGAGGCTGAGGAAGCAGACCAAAGATAGGGCCCCATAAAGGTCAAAATGCTGTGCACTGGAGGAATATCTGGCACTTGGGGACCTAAGCTTTCTCTCCCTTTGGTTGATATGTACCTCTAGCAGCCAGGAAGCACCAGAGGAGAGTCCCAGAGGGCCTACTTGGAACCTTGTGTTTCCAGGATGGGGGTCAAACCCAGGGCCTCATTAATGATAAGCAAAAAAAAAAAAAAATTAAAAAATAAAAAAGAGCTCCATCCCTAGCTGGCTTTGAAAAGCTGGTTTGACAACAACCCAGCCAGAATTGAAGTGCAGGGCCAGTGTTATCTTTGGAAAAGAGCAAGGACTGGGGCCTGATCTGTCCTAACCCTGAGCAAAGTATCACGGGACAAGCCAAGTCACCTCCAAGGGATCAATAGTTCTTAAAGTGGTTCAAGCCCTTCAAATTAGAATTTAAAGGGCTGGAGCAATGCTCTCACAGTTAAGAGCACTTGCTGCTCTTGCAGAGGAACCAGGTTTGACTCCCCATTTGATAGGTTCCTACTATCTGTAATCCCAGGTCTAGGGGATCTGACATCTCCTGGGCTCTGCAAGCACCAGGCACACATGTGGTGCACAGACATACATGCATACAAAACACTCATATGTGTATAATAAAAATTAATTAAAAGTTTAAGAGTTCAAACATTTGATCAGCAAAAACTAGTTCATAAATCATACATAAATATGGAATTATAGGCATTCATGAGTTATTTTGCTTTATTAAAATATAACAATGAATTCATATCAAATTATAAAATGCCAGTCTAATCTGTATTCACTTTCTAGTTGAAACCAGACAAACTAGTCTCAGTACAAACTGAAATCTTGTTTTCTAAAAGTACAGAGTTAAATTTTAATAGTCCCTTACAGTTTTTACTTATCTCCTTACTACGACTATTAACTCAAGGTGTTAAGATCAGCATGTCACAGTTTACCACAGACAACACTTGATACCACTTCTTAATATAATTATAATAAAATTTTCAAAAATAACAGTTCCTATGTGTATATATTTAAAATATAAATTATCTATAAACATATATTAAAAGAATAGTCTTTTTGGGTTTTTTTGGTTTGGTTTGATTTGGTTTGGTTTTTTGAGACAGGGTTTCTCTGGGTAGCTCTGACTGTCCTGGAACTTGCTCTGAAGATCAGATTGGCCTTGAGCTCACAGAGGTCCACCTGCTTCTGCCTCCAAATTGCTGGGATTAAAGATGTATGCCATCACCTCCCAGCTAAAAGAATAGCATTTTTTAATCAATACATCTATATAAAAAGTAACAAATGCTAACTCACAGAACTTCCTTGGGGGGGGGGGGCTTATCGGCTCCTGGGCTGGACAGCCAGCCAGAATGTCATCACCATGTGTGTTTCTAATGGAAGGAAAAATATACCCTATCTCCTCCTCACATGAGAACACAGGGCTGCACTCAGCTAGATCCCAAACTCTGGTGCCCCTTGCGTTTTCTTCCCACACACTGCCTTCTTGTGTGACCCTTGACTGCCACTATGTCCTGCCTGGATTGACACAGCTCACATTGGTGCAGTCTGACTCTGCAGGTTGTAACCTTTACAGTTCCTCTCCCCCAACAGTACCCCATGTTCACCCCTACTGCTTTATCATAACCCCCACTGAGACAGTCTACAAGTTCCAACTCCAGGTCCTCATCTTTCTATCCCATTGCTTCTTTCTAAATATCCAGGAAGTCTGTAGACATCCTGTGGATGCATGGACTCTGTGGCCCATCTCTTGGGGTTTCCAAGGCTTATTTCCCTTCCCTGTGACTCGGTTTCCTTATCTATGATATGGAAATAGTAGTATACCTTCCACCTGTGTTGTTGTGAAGATGAAGGAAACATAAGGCTTTTCAATAGGATTAGCTGCCCTCTCTAGCACTGCTCAGACTATAGTTAAGGATAAACAGCTTTCTGTATAATAGAGAAGCTAAAAGAAAGGTTCATATCAAAATGTTCTCATTACTTGAGCTTTGCAATTTTTGGAAACATGGGCAAAATAGGTTTCTCTTTGCATTTAACCCATTCATCTAGAAAGAAAGAAAGAAAGAAAGAAAGAAAACACATACACAAAAAAAATTGAATTTTACTTTCCCAGATTGTGCTGAGTAAGCACATCCCAGTAATTTTGTGTAGTTCCTACCCATCTTCATGATTTCCTATACAGCGTATATCATATAAACAGGGCTGTCAAAAACAACCTGAGACTGTTATTTGAAGTTGACTTTTTATAGTATTTCATGAACTCAAAATTTGCATTTTTATTACTATTAGAAATGGCTTAATAAGTAAATAAATTAAAAAAAAAAAGAAATGGCTTACCACTCTTCAACTTCTCTAGCTGAATGTAGCCATGGATGCTGAGAGCAAGGACTAAACACAATGTTGGGTCCAGATCCTAGGTTAGCTCGCCGTATGGGCCTAGGCAAGCGATTTATCTTTCCTGCTTCTCAGCTTCCTTGAGCTACTAGATGGAGAGTGCCAGCACACTACCTAAAGGTGGGTGGGAGAGCTGGCCCTGCCCCTTACCAGCTGCAGCACTCGGGAGAACAGGCCCTGCACCTTTCCCAGACAACACAGTGGAGAGGCTGGTGGGCTGGCACTGAGGGCCTGAGAGCAGGAGAACTGGCCCACTCTTTACTGCCTGCTGCAGTGGGTGAGCTAGCCAGTGCAATGAAGGAGCGCTCACCCTGTTGGCGTTGATGAGAAAAAGCTGGCAGGCTGACCAACCAAGCTACCACCCAAGCCCAGCACCAGGGCTATGAGTTGGCCCAGCCCAACATCCATCTCATCTACGAACTGCTGGAGCATGTGAAGGAGCCAGACGTGCAGATCCAAAGCTGCAGGACCTCCATGACACAAGGCGACAACAGGATTAGGAGAGGCGTCCCAGTGAGGGCCCAGGATCAAGAATACAGGAGAAGTCAGAGTGCTTGAACCAGACTAACGACTCATGGCAAGGAACACTTGCAAGTGAAGATGTATGGACTAAAGGGTGCTGTGTGACTCACTAGGCCACACACCAGCCTACAAGATGAGACTTCTTTTTCTTTATATATCAGTTTGGTCATTTTTTTTTGTTGTTGTTCTTGTTTGTTTGTTTGGGGGGGGTTTCTTTTGAGTTTTATTTTGTTCTGGGGGGAGGTTGCAAGGGCAGCGGGTAGATATGAAGGGATGGGTAGAAGGATGGGATCAGGCTGTATGATGGGACACCCACAAAGAATCGACAAAAATTAATAAAAGAAAATAACACTGCCTGACACAGGCAGCACTTGACCTGTGTTAACTTTGCTCTGAGCAGGTGGTCCCCACAGCTGAGCCGTTCCCACAGCTCAGAGAGTCACATTCGCCATTTTCAGAGGTGTAAGCATCCACTCCATACACGAAGTTCTACCCTGAAGCTAACCTGAGCTACATAAGACCATATCAAGAAAAACTAGTGAACAAAGGACCACAAATGAGCTCTCATTCATTGCAGGTTTTTAAAGAGTTTACACTAGCAGCAGTTAAAGAACAGCTGCCTTCAGGAAGTCAAGTAGAACCTCCCATGGTCTGACCTTCAGCACGTCAACACCATCTAGTCCCACCAATACACAGATACAACCGCAATCTATTCTGAAACATGGCCCAGGGAGACCGTGACCTATAAAACACAAACTTTTTTTTAACAAATAGAAGTATACATCTAATGCTTACCTTCCCTCATAAATGAAAGGGCTTTTTCCTTTAAATTATCTGTCAGCTGCTTCTGTTTAGTCAGATAATCCAAAACGTAAATATTTGGAGCAAAATTTATCATGTTCTGTTCACCACAACCGTAAGGCATCCGTATCAGCGAGGCCAACCCGTTGATGGAAGGACCCAGAATATCTCCTGAAAGCACAAAACATTCAGTTCAATGGGTAACGCTCACTCAGCCTTCCCTGCTGGCACGAGCAGTCTCAGCTCAGGACAGCCATCGATCATGGAAGCAAGTGGGGCAAAGAAGACGCAACCAGAGCAAGAGCAGTGGTGTAGAACTCACGATCGTGATGTCAGGACACATCTGCCTAAATAACAATGGGGTCAAAACTGAGTGTCCCTTTATATCAAGATGGCAGGAGGTGACACTTAGTTCTTCTGAAGGAGACGCAGGTGCATCGGAAAAAGCTGTGCTTAATTTAAAAGCAGTTTAGGCTAAGAAAACTGGAAGTAATGTTCCTACTGCAAAGAATCTTGCCCAGAAAATTGTTCTAAGCAAGGTTTCTCATGTCTTGCTTATGGGAAGTTTTCAAACCATACTTGTCCTGACCATAGACTAAGAAATTCTAATTTAGTAGGTTTAGAAAAAAACAAACCAGATATTTGTGTTTTAAAACATTTTACGTAAGATTGGGATCCTCAACAACAACCGAGAAGCACAGAATCCAGGAGCTCTGCGCTACAGAACACTGGTCCCTCTAGCCACGGTGCTTGTAGCCTTGCTACCCAGTGTGCCCATACCCCAGAAGTACCACCATCACCTCAGAATTCAGAGAGTCCAGTCAGGCATGGGGACGCATGCCTAGATTATCAGCAAAGAAGCTGGGATGCAGGGATCTGGAATTCAAGGCCAGCCTGGGTTATGTAAAGATTTCAAGGCCAGCCTGGACTACATACCAAGACCTAATCTCCTAAAACAAAGAGCCAGTGAAATAGTTCAGGAGTAAGGAATTTGTCGAGCATGCACAAAACCCCATGTTTCATCTTGAGAAAAAGGAAGAAAGTTTAAGTGAGACAGGAAGGAAGAAGGAAGGAGGGAAGAGGGCACAAGCCCTGACCCACTGCAGACATACGAAGCCAGGACTTCTTGTCAAGCAAGACCCCACGTGCGTGTTGATAAGCACTGGTCTAAAGCCTATCAGCTGAGGCCAACTAAAACCTTTCACAAGCTCTTCCCACGAGGTCTAAGTAAGACAATCTATCTGCAAATAGATGAAGAATAGATTATTGCATGCAAAACAGCCAGTGTGTGGTGACACGCAGTACCCTTACCAATTGCTGTGATCTGAACTCTTTCACTGCCGATGACTGTATTGGGAGGAAAGGAGAAACTCAAAGTTTTCTGGGTAGTTTGCACTTTGCTGTCGGTCAGATCCAGTAAGATAGACTGTGAATATGACTTCTCTATGCCTTCAGCCTGTGAGGAAAGGAACACAGCATCGTGTCTGCTTATCCGTTAACTGAGAGTTGTGTGCAGATACGAAGACAAACATCTATGCTGTGGATGCAGCTATACAAGGAAATACCTACCTACCGTTTCTTGATCCTGATTTCAAATGTGGTAAGCACTTGCTTTCTAGCTAAGTTGAGAAAGCATTTCCTAAAACTGGCACGGAAGTGGAAGTGGCGAGGGGAGAAGAGAGAATGTGGCAAACACTGGGGAGTAGACGCGTCTGTTGTTATCTAAACAGAGGCACTAAATGCCTTAGCTGAAATCACAGTTAACCAGAGATTCAAACCCAAAGTAATGCCACCCCAAAAGAGGAGTGGGCACCTACTGTGCTGAGCTATGTTTTATACAAAATGTCCTCTCACAACGATAGTCTACAAACCCTATTTTGAGGAATTCCAAAATGCCCACTTTACGTTATCAACCTGACCATGATCCAACAGGCTCCCAATACAGTTGGTATTTAAAAATACTTGACCGTCCTAATAGTCATGCTTCTACTCAAATTTAAAAAGGAAAAATGGAGCCAGGCATTGGTGATGCACACCTTTAATCCCAGCACTTGGGAGGCAGAGGCAGGTGGATCTCGAGGCCAGCCTGGTCTACAAGAGCTAGTTCCAGGACAGGCTCCAAAGCTACAGAGAGACCCTGTCTTGAAAAAAAAAAAAAGGAAAATGGCAATATTTTGACAGTATGTGCATGTCATATTTTTACTGACAGATGAGAAAATAACTAGGCATTACCAAGACTGTGAAGGAGAAGACATTTTAGGTACCAACTGATTTGACACAAACACCATCTCTCATCTGCTTTTCAATTCCATGTTTGTTTCCACTGTATCCATCTAAACCCCAAATACTTACCTTTACTAAAACCTTTTGGGTGATGGCATCCGAAGCAATAGGCGAGGCAACTTTCACTGTGATGGGAATTTCCCCCAACTGCGTTGGCTTGATAGGGAAAGAAAAAGTGACCCCATCCTCGCTGGGAACCAGAGCTGTCTGCTGGTGCACGGTGTCATTCGTGTCACTTGAAGACATTAAAATATCAAAGCTGTCACTTTCCTCAATGAGCGCTACAACCTGGGGCGGGGGAGGGGGAATAAAGCCAAAAAGTTTTATATTAAAAACGTTCCTTTGTAGTGTTTCTATTGCTATTTTAAGTGCTGTTACGAGTATAAGACTCAAAACTGGAGAAAAATGAGACCAAGGTTAGGCCAAGAAAAGGGAAAAGCAGAAAGGAAACCAGAGAAAACTGGATTTATTATATGCATTCCCCTTCTAGCTCAAGACACATCTGGGGAACGGCATTCTTTGCCTTCATTTCCAGGGCTTTCACTAACACAGCCCTTGAGTGGCAGGATGGCACAAAAGGCCAGTTTGAATATTAGTTTCACAGCCTCTTGTTTTAACTGTGTCATCTTAAGAGACACAGGTCCTATTAGCGAAGCTGGGACAAATGGATTGAAATATTGCTCTATCTACTGATAGTTTCTACAAAAATCATTCAATGAAAAGTATGGTTAGCACATAAGTCCTTTTTTTTCTATTTATTTATTTATTTATTTATTTATTTATTTTGAGACAAGGTTTCTCTATGTAGCCCTCATTGTCCTGGAACTTGCTCTGTAGATCAAACTAGCCTTGAACTCAGAGATCTGCCTGCCTCTGCCTCCCAAGTGCTGGGATCAAAGCCATACACTACCACTGACAGTTCTAAAGCATATCTGATTTGCAAACTTTTATTAAAATGCCAAAACTTTCTATTCTCCTTAAGTACTATTCTTCCAGGCTTGAGGTTTTTGTTGTTTTGTTTTGTTTTTTGAGACAGGGTCTTATTGTGTAGTCTTAGCTGACCTGAAACTTGCTATGTAGATCAGGCTAGCTTTGAACTCACTGTAGATCAGGCTAGCTTTGAACTGCCTCTGCCACTGCCTCCAAGTTCTGGGATTAAAAGTGTACATCTCTGTACCCTGAGGTGGGGGAAGGTTTAGAGTCTTAATTTGTAAACCTAGCTGACCTGGAATTGATTATGTAGGCCAGGCTAGCCTCAAACCTGCAGCAATCCTCCTGACTCTGCCTCTCAGGTGGTTCCCACCACAACCAGCATGGGCCTTACATTTTACAAAGTATTTTCCAATTTATTTTCTCATTTTCTCACAACAATTTGTTCACATAATGATTATAATTCTCGTAGAATAGATAAGAAAAACTCTAATCATGTTATTAAGTTATCTGCTAATGGGCGACTGACTAGATATTGGGCCTTCTCTCAACCCGCTCATTATAATATAACATTCTGAGCACATGGAAAGCACAGTTAGAAAACAAAAAGCTGGAGCTGAGAGAATAGTTCAGTGGTTCACTTGTATCTACTCAATCGCAATACCTAAATATAATAAGTAAACATTTTGATTTACTATACAGATGTGCATACTTAAAAACAGTGTAGCATTTCAAACAATAAAGTTAGAAGCACATGCCTAATAACTCAAGGGCAGAAAACTAAACCATGAGACTAACGCAGCACAAACGGTAGAGAAGTCACAAGCTCCGCTGTTCAGCTAATTGCCTGCCTATGGGGACACGGGACCATGGCTCACAACATAAGCTCCTGAGAGCATAAGACATCGAATAGCCATGGAGACAACAAACGTTGATGTGGGAGTCCCCTCTTTGTGCTCTGATTACCATTAATGAATAAAGAAGCTACTTTGGACCTATAGCAAGGCAGAACTTAGGTATGCAGGGAAAGCTAGGCTGAATGCTGGGAGGAAGGAGGGCAGAGTCATGGAGAAGCCATTGAGCTGCCTGAGATAGATGCTGGGAACTTTAGTGGGTAAGACACAGCCACATAGCAATACACAGATTAATAGAAATGGGTTAAATTCATATGTAAGAGTTAGCCAATAAGAAGCTAGAGCTAATGGGTCAAGCCGTGATTTAAATAATACAGTTTCTGTGTGGTTATTTTGGGGCTAAACAGCTAGGAATGAAACAAGTGATCTCCTTACTACAAAACGTAAGAGAGTGGGTGAAGTTTCTCAGGAAAGGAATCCTGGCTGCAGTCTGTCTCAGAGAGAAGAAATTCTTACCAACTGCAGCTGGTACGAAATGGTAATGAGAAAACACATTCTAGATAGAGAAGACGAGGAAGAAATGCAGGGAGGTAAGGAGAGAGTAGGGCATATATATCCTCAAGACCCAAAGGAAGTTCCCTGGCTGAATGGGAGGATCTATACAGGAAAACTAAAAGAATGTTCAGACATTCTAATGATATACTCAGACTTGAATAACCAACAACATATGTATATTTTCAATCTCCCAGCAAAGTGTAAATTGCTTGGAAGAGTGTCAGGTATGTGATTCCTTCCTATGAGTTGCTGGTCAGGGAGGTCCCAAAGGACCCCAGAAGAAATGCAGGTTATTGCCATTGTCTTGGTTGCCCACCAGAGGTGAAACCCTATTGCTGAAGATACCACACGCTTTAAGTATACTACAAAGAAAATCATGCTATAATTGAGCCAGAAGTTTCCTCCTTGTTGGCTAACCCTCATAATGCCAAAAAACTGCTATGTAGGTAACTATGCTATGTAGGTAACTATGCTATGCAGATATGGAGAAAATTTATCAGTGGCATTACTGTGGTGGTTTGAAAAAAAATGACCTGATGGAGGAAGAAAAGATATTTATTTATAAATGTTGCTGAACTAATCCAACATAGATATTTTGAATTTGGATCTAAGGATATGATACTTTGGAAAGGAGTTTCTTATTTTGTTTTCACAGAGGATGAGACACTGTTCATTTCTTCTATTCCAATTTGGTATGATGGACCACGCCCTCCTGAATGGTTCCTGTGCACGCCTTCAAAAAATTGCTTCGCTCAACTGCCAACTGAGATGAAGCTAGCACACAGGTTATACCATGAAAGACCTAATTAACGACGCCCCCATTCAGCAGGAAGCAGTTTGGAGAGAAAAAACTGCACCCATGTTCCCAAATATGGTTTATAAACGTTCTTTTACATTTAAAGGGGGATATGATATAGATATGAATAATTTGCATTAGTATAGATTTTGCTTTATTGATAGAGATTTAAGGTCAATTTTGTTATATATATAAGTGTTTCTGGTTTTGATTAAGGTATTGTGATTGTGTAGTTCATTTAAATATGTACTGTATAATTAAGAAATATATGTTGTTAATGGATAATCATCGATAATAGTAAAGCTTGTAGTCATGTTAGTTAATATTTTCTAGATGTGCGTAGATATATTTTAGATAGACATTCTTCATGTCTTTCAAAGATTACAGAATAGGACATTTAATGTTTTAATAACTGAGGACTTTTCATGACAATGAGACACTCTGCTCCTGGCAGCACCAATCTACTTCAAGAGGAAGATGGGCATCGAAGAGGCTCGTTATGGAGTTTGATAGCCATTTGGGCAAGAAACTGCTCTTGCCTGGACTATTGCATAAACTGGACACAGAGAACCCACAGAGAGAGGACTACTGAACTTGCCTAAGGTGAGATGATCTTTCGGGGTTCCTGATTCATGAAAGAGTCTGCGAGACATTCTGCAGGACACAACAGATAGTGACTAAACTGACTTTGAATTTTCCTGCTTTATGGAAATGTCTGCTGGATACCATGGGCCTGAAGGCTGAAGATGGATGCCCCAACGGTACAGAGGAACTTTGGGTGACTGTCCAGGCAGCGAGATGTCTTTGTCATTTCTAGAGTTTGAAGTTTCTTAGTTCTTGTTTACTTAGGTAATATATCTTTCTGGAGTCTTTGATGGAGTTAAGAATAGTTAGTTATAGTTATAGTTTTCCTTAGTTATGATAAAAATTATTGTAACGTTTACTTGATAACTGTTTTGTTATATGTAATTTTGCTATGTTAAAGCCTTTTTTTTGTTTAAACCGAAAAAGGGGAAATGATGGAGGAAGGTCATTGGCTAATAAAGGCACTGCCCTGGCCCATTTTATTGGTTAGAGGATAGGTGGGAGGAGAAAACAGGACAGAACACTGGGAGGAAGAGGAAGTGAGGTCAGAGACTCCACAGCTCTCTCGGGAGCAGACGCCTGAGAGAGAGATGCCATGCCCCGCTCCCGGGATGAAGCTCCGACCCAGGATGGACTAGACTAGAATCTCCCCGGTAAGCGCACCTTGGGGTGCCATACACAGATGATTAGAAATGGGTTAAATTAATATGTGAGAATTAGCCTAGAAGAGAATGGGCCAAGCAGTGATTAAAAGAATACAGTTTGTGTGTTGTTATTTCGGAGAATAAGCTAGCCATGTGGGCGGCCGGGTGTGGGGGACGCAGCCCTGCCGCCCCATACTACTACAATGACCCTCATGGGCCCACAGGGAGTGACACTACTAGGAAACATGGCCTTGTTGGAGTAGGTGTGGCCTTGTTGAAGGAAATGTGTCACTGTGGGGATGGGCTTTGAGGACTCATATTCTCAAGCTACACCTGGTGTGGCCTACCATCTCCTTCGGCTGACTATGGATCAAGATGTAGAACTCTCAGCTCCTTCTCCAGCACCATGTCTGCCTGCACACTGCCATAACGATAATGGACTAAACCTCTGAAACTGTAAGCCAGCCCCAATTAAATGTTTTCCTTTGCAAATGTTGCCATGGTCATGGTGTCTCTTCACAGCAATAGAAACCCTAACAAAAACAGTTATCCATATGTGGATCATGGATGCTATTAGTACCAATCTGTGAAGCAAGATATGCCCATTGATACATTTAGTGGAATGATAGTTTTGGTTATACCAGCTGCCTTCTGATTCTAAGCCCTACTCTGTGTTTATAGCCATAGATGAGTACTGTTCTCAGCCTCAGTCAAAGCAATGAAGAGAGGTTTATGACAAGACTTGGCCCACAACACTCAGTTATGGCTGGAAAAGGCACTCATAGGGTGCACTCCATTCTTGAGGAGCTACTGAAAGTTCTAGTAAATGTGGAGGGAGAGTCATTGCCTTCAGTGGTGTAGCCACCAGAAAGCCGTTTATACTTTGGTAAACAGCTCCACACACATGCTCATGTGGGCAGCCCTTGTTAAAGGCAAGTAGGCCACAACACAAAAACAAGGGAAAAAAATTGGAAGTTGGAAGAGAAATCTATTGGGAGAAGAAGGAGGAGGATAAGAGAGGTTGAAGTGAATGTAACTAGAATGTATTTACGGGTGTGAAATTCTCAAAGAATGAATTAAATTTTTCTTAAAAATGTAAATTACCAAGTTATAAGGATGAAACCAATAAAAACATATATAAGCCAAAAAAAAAAAGTTTAAGAAGGTCTTTAAAAAAAAAAAAAGATTGCTTGGACACTCTGATGCTCAAGTAGCATGCAACCAATTGGTCCTCAATCCTCTATTTTGTCCCAAAGAGTAAATAATAAACAAAACCTTGAACACATTACCTCAGTGGTATCTTTCAAATAATTGAATATAGTTACTTCCAAAGCAAATTCTTCACCTCTGATAACAAAGGAGGGAAGATTCAAGTAGATGAAAAATGGCTGAAAGACTTGCAGCTAGAAAGAACAAAACAAACACATGTTTTAATTCAGACAGAAGCGCTTCACATTATATACAAGTAAGAGCAATCTCCCCAGAACCTGTACAGCCTATAACACCTAAAGGTATCCATCCACTTGACTATCAACCAATACCAATTAACAATCTACATCAAATAAAGAGTGCCAAGCTGACTTGACTGTGATTTAGCATAGTAACCACTGTACTGCTTTAAGAGCCCAGTAGAGACCAAGCCCTTCATAAATTTTTCATGCACTTATTATACCCCTATAAAGGTGTCTTACTTCTACCTATTAAAAAAGTGGTGTTTGGAAATCTGTGAATCTTCTACAAGCTTATACTACCTTCAAGAGAAGATGCCAGAGCCAGATCCCATTCTCTCTGATACCAAAACCAGCTGCTGTTTTCAAAGTTATTCTCCCATCCAACAGTCCCTGAGACTCACTTGGAGAAATCTCGATGTGGCCAGCTCAGTAATGTTCTGCTAGCTGTTCTCACATGTACACGGACAGACACGTGTCTCCCTCTTGTTGACCCAGCTCTGAAACTGTTACCAAGACCTGCAGGACCTCAGGCCAAGCCACCTCCCCTACCTGAAGTTAAACCTGGTTACTTTAGGCCAGTGGCCTTAGTAACAGAAGCAAACCCCTCTAGCTGGTGTGTCCAACCCATGCCCTTGGGGGCCACATTCATCCAAAATCAACACGAATGTGGACCAATACAAAATTAAACATGGAGGGGTTTTTTAGATATTTTTTAAAATTTGATTACTTATTTCTCAATTGTGAACTTTGTAGATGACAAGACCATCCCACAAATGTCAAAAGGTTTAACATCCTGCCAGGTTCTGTGGACAACTGTAGATTGGACACTCTAGGTTGTCACAGAGACTGAAGGGCACTAGTGGTTCTTTATGGAATGAAGTTCGAGAATGCCTAGGATCATCCCAAACAATGAATAACTACTGTCTTGTTTTCCTCATCGTTCTTGACTTATCTTCTATTAGCATGTGGTTTGCTGTTTGGAACATAGAAATATGATTTGTTGCTTGGTGCATTTGACTCTACAGATCACATAATTTAAGGTCCCATGTAAACATCTATATAGATATTGAATATTTGCTTAGACATTGATATAAAGAAACCATCTGTTTAAAAGACCTAAGCTTCTACCATAATTCCATATACAAATCTAGAGCACTTTTATTTCTACAAATTTCACTTGGGAATGGTAAGGCGGCAACACAAGATGTCCGTGACAGAGGCTTTCGCGTATACGAGGAGCAATAGCTAATCACTTGGGAATGGTAAGGCGGCAACACAAGATGTCTGTGACAGAGGCTTTCGCGTATACGAGGAGCAATAGCTATTGTGTTACAGTCATCCATGATCCTCGTATTCCTGAGCGCAGACCTGAAGGACTATCTGCTAGGAGGCACTTTGAGAAGGTGTGCTCATCTTTAAAGTGATCTGACCATTGCAAGTTGTTACATGAGGTCAATAATAAACGTTTTAACCAAATAAGGGCTGGAGAAAAGGATCAGAGGTTAAGAACAGCAGCCGCTCTTTTGGAAGATCCATATCTGATTTCCCAGCACCCACAAGTCAACTTGCAACTCCAGTTCCAGAGGATCCAACACCATTTTCTAGCTTCCTTGGACACCACACACACATACACACATAGTGCACATACATAGATGCAGGTAAAACACATACACACACACATACACACACACACACATATATGTATATATATTCACATATATATATGAATTTAAAATGCTACACTTGATTGGCCAATACCCAGGAATGAAGTATAGGCAGGGTGACCGGGCAGGAAGTAGAAGTAGGGTGACAAGAACAGGAGAATTCTGGGAAAAGGAAAGGCTCAGTCTGCAGTTGTGATCCAGCCGCAGAAGAAGCAAGATGAGACTGTCTCATCGATAAAAGGTACCAAGCCACGTGGCTAACACAGACAAGAATTATGGGCTAATATAAGTTATAAGAATTAGTTAATAAGAAGCCTGAGCTAATAGGCCAACCCGTTTATAATTAATGTAGACCTCTGTGTGTTTCTTTGGGACTGAACAACTGCGGGACCAGGCAGGACAAAACCTCAGTCAACACTTGATATTAGCTAAAAAGTCTATTTTTGCTCTATTACTATTACTGCAAGCTTTAAGGTAAGCTATAATATAAATTATACCTGATTGTTTCCAGCAACAAATAAGGAAATCCTGCCTATAGGAAAATCCATTTCATAGATAGTATTGCCTATCAACAAAGTCATATGTAATACATTAATGTTTGAGTTACCTTAAATTTATTACAATGTGGAACTTTATCTTAATGAAGATAGTGACAAATAATTGGTAATAAGATAAAAATTAATTCAACATTGAAATTTTAAAAAATAATAAATATGATAGTAATTACTTGAGTTGGACAATTAGGAAGAATTGTCTGCAAACCAGAGACAAAGTGAATTACGGCTGCAGTGTTGAAAGAGATAAACAAATCTTGACACTTAAAATTTAATACAAAAACTGCTATAAAATTTATGTGTTATCTGAATTTGAATATTTTAGATACATTTATGGTGTACTAAATTATTGACTGTAGTAATAGTGTGTGATGAATTTACCTTAATTAATTATAATTACATATATGTATATTATTCAGAAAATATTCGCCACTTACAGAATATTCCATTTACTCTAGTATTTCCTTCTGTGTATGAGAAGTTTAACACTGACTACAGAAAAGGCAGAGGATGTGTGCACTGCTGGTGCACACCAGGCTCTTGGGTTAAGAGTTTCTAAGTAGGCATTATTACAACATGCTAGACCTCATTTTCATAAGAACCAACTTCAACAGTGTCTGCATTGTCTCATTGTACTCTAAGTCTTCTGCCTTAAAGAATGAAATAGAAACCTAGAATGTAAAAAAAGAAATATTTAATAATATTTTTAACTTTATGACAAAAATCTATCAATTTAATATAACTCAAATTCAAAAATTTAACACAGAGCCAACAAGATGGTTCAGCGGGAAATGGTACTTGCTAGAAAAGTCTGGCAATCAGGGTTCAATTCCCGTTTTCAGCATTCATATAATGATAAATGGAGAAAATGGACTTCACAAAGTTGTCCTCTGACACACACACACATACCATCATTGTCATCAAGAACATCAATATCATCATCATCATCATCATCATCATCATCATCATCATTATCATCATAGGACTGGAGAGATAGCTCAGCAGTTAACAGCATTGCCTGCTTTCCCAGAGGACCCAGGTTCATTTCCCAGCAACCACATGGCAGCTCAAAACTGTCTATAACTTCATTTCTAGGGGATTAGACACCCTCACACTAACATATTTGCAGGCAAAACACCCATGCACATAAAATAAAAAATAAATAATTTTTAATTAATATTATAGATAATATAATATTTCTTTCAAAGATGTTAACGAAGATGAAAGCAGAAAGGTAAAGGCACAGTAAACTATGGGGGAAAAGCAATGGATAGTCAATCATTTTCTGAGCCTCATTTCATTAGATTGGAGAGAAGCTCCTTCTGTAACTACCTCTGCTGGATTCGTTGTTAGCCCAAGACCAAATTCTTCTGAGATCACAAAAGCAGAGGCCACCCAGGAAGTGATGGAATCAGGTGCAGTAACTTCAAAGTCTTGGTAAACCTTGGATCTGAAGTCAGCACAAATGCAGAAATTACAAAACCAAGATTTCACATAATTCCAAATAAGTCAATATAACTCACAAGTTTTAGAATTTTTTTTAATTTTCATATTTACATCATTTACATATCTAAGTTTAAAACCGTGCAGTATTTCAGTTTCTCAAGAGATAACTGATAGCATCATACCTTGCATGCTCCAATGAAATCTTTCTACAAACTTCACACCTTTGCAATTGATTAAAATATTTTCAAACTTTTTAAACGTATTTTTAAGCTTTATCCCAATATTCCTCTCTCAATTTATAGATAACTTTGTGGATTTTTTTGTTTGTTTCTTTGTTTCTTTATGTTTTTGCTTTCGTTTGAACCTTATCAATTGTTATGGGTTTTCTTCCAACAAAAACCAGGAAACTTCAAGGAAGTTTAATTCACCCTTTATCCTACAAAGCCTCACACCCTCCTCCATAATACTTTATGAACAGGAGTTGTATGTGGGTCAACCAAACACTAGTTAGATTCAACCAGTACCATTCTTAACCCCAGACCCCTAATCTACTTAGCTCATCGACACGTAACATTTATGCTTCAAACACACTAGAAAGTGGAAAGTATTACCCAAAATATACACTAAGCAAAACATAAATGGACAAAGAACTTCACAAGTCTTTACCCCATGTTGGAGTCCAGCCAAATCCATGTTTCTGGAAAATGCTTCCTGATATGTGGATTGCAAACCAAAGAAACGTCTTGAAAATCCATCAACGTTGGCTCATTTTCCTCCAAAAACCACTCAGCATATTCTGGGGTATCATCTACAAGAAACATTGCCGATGGTAAGGAAGGAAAGGGCACAGGAGAGAAAGTATGGCAAGTGTGGCTCCCAGAACCCTCGACTTCGCAGCAGAATGAGGGTTAGAATTTACCTTGTTAATTAACGCTCTCGTTTTCTGAAGAAGAAACCTGAGCAGCGGACAATGAATACAATTTATCAAAACCACATGGACAGTAACCCCAGAACTAAAAATATCTTTCCAATCTACTCTGTTCCAATGATAAATAACTGAAAACTTAAGAGTTTAGTTGCCTATTTAATTTAAATTATTAAAATACATCCCATTTTAAACCCATTTGACTTTTATGCTTTCCTTCTTTGAAAGCTCCTTGGTCAGCCTAAGACACACTGTAGTCAGGTCATTTGTTCAATTTTACAATAAAAATATGCATGTGGATACATAGACTTTGGGTCACCTATCTGCTTTATCTAATTTTCTGTAAGTCTAAAACTATTTCAAACAATGCTGCTATGAACATAGTTGAGCATATACTTTTGTCATATGATAGGGCATCTCTTGGGTATATTCCCAAGAGTGGTATTGCTGGGTCCAGGGGTAGGTTGATCCTGAATTTCCTGAGAAACCGCCACACTGCTTTCCAAAGTGGTTGCACAAGTTTGCATTCCCACCAGCAATGGATGAGTGTACCCCTTACTCCACAACCTCTCCAGCAAAGGCTATCATTGGTGATTTTGATTTTAGCCATTCTGACAAGTGTAAGATGGTATCTTAAAGTTATCTTGAGTAAGAGAGGTCTGGACTATTTTTTAGGTAAACACCTAAAAGTTAGAGAACACTAATGCCTCAAAACTTGTTCCTTTCAATTAATTCCAAAATAGCAGCACAGTTTGCAATACAAATTAAAATCACAGGATCATTCAATATGTTCCAAACTATAATTCCACCTTTAAAAACTGCAGAAGGCAAATGGAAAGCACACATTTCAAAGACATAGTCAGGAGCCCAGAGAACATTCCTTGTCGTCCTCACACATTCTTCCAAAGTCCAAACACTTTAGCTGTAGGAACCAGGTTGAACCAGAAAGTACCTGTCCCGTTAAGTAATATTCAATATATAAGGTAAAATATATCTAGTTAAGCATGTTATCAGGTTTTACTTACAAACACCATCAATGTTATCCTTTACAAGATTTGCATCTGTAAACACCCAAAGACCACATTCCTAGAAAAAAATTAATAAAAATTTTTAACTAAAATAAAATTAAAAAATCAAAGTTTAAATGTTTTTTACTCATAGAAATCGCCACACTCTCATTTGGGGGACTTAGGTACACAGGTGTGTGTGTGTGTGTGTGTGTGTGTGTGTGTGTGTGTGTGATGTGGGAGTGATTTCTTTCTAATCTGTTGCTTTCATTGGTTAATTAATGAAGAAACTGCTAGGCCCATTTGAAAGGCAAACCCTTATGTGGGTGGTGTAAACAGAACAGAATGCTGGGAGAAGCCGAGTCAGGAGTCACCATGATTCTCCCACCTGACACAGCCACAGGTTAAGATCTTCCCTGGTAAGCCACCTCGTGGGCTACACAGATTATTAGAAAAGGGTTAGATCAGTATGTAAGAGCTAGCCAATAAGAGGCTGGAACTAATGGGCCAGGCAGTGTTTAAAAGAATACAGTTTCCATGTAATTATTTCGGATAAAGCTAGCCATGCGGGAACGTAGCCAGCCGCTCCAATCACAACATGTGTGTGTGTGTGTTCCTGTCTTCCCTCCTCTCACACAAACATACTTTTCAAAGTTAAATATAGTAATAGAAAAGAAAAAATGTGTTTAATGACAATTCCACTCACCTAACAGTGAATCAGTAAATTTTTCCATTTGTTTTTAAAACAAAAAGGATTCATCTCCCCACTCAGATTAGATTTTTGAAACAGTGAACTTCAGTCACACTTCCCAAAGAGGTTAGTCCTCATTATGATTATTAATTTTGAAAGTGTTTATAATAGGAATAGACACTAATGTCAGGGATGGAGAGAATGGCTCAGTAGTTAAGAACACTGGCTGCTCTTCCAGGGATCCTGAGTTCAATTTCCAGCAGCCACATGATGGCTCACAACCATCTCTAGTGAAATATGATGCCCCTCTTCTGGCATAAATGTGCAGATAGAGCACTCATACATAAAAGAAATAAATAAATCTTTAAAAAATAAATTAATATAAAAAACTTAAAATAAAAAGATACTAATATCTTTTCAGATTATTTGGCCAACTATCCATACCTGAAAGACAGCGAAGGAATTCATGAACATGCCCAGATAGTACCCTGTGTTATAAAGCTCCAGTTCATGGACCACCTGCACAAAGATAAGACACAGAAGGAATTGGTTCTCATCAGTCTATCCTGTCCTCCACTCCTTCCTTAGAAGTAATTCAGTAGGAAACACAGTTTGCTCCAATACTGAAGGGACTTAAGAAGTGAATGAACAGCCATGGCCGGACACCCCACTCTCTTAGGACCTCCACAGTGGGACAATACCCCAGGTCCCTCCTCCAACTCCCTAGGCTTTTCTAGCCAGCCAGCAGGGAATTTCCAATGGGTAGGCTCCCCAAAAACCCAAACCAATCCAGCGGCCCATCCAAACTACTAGCCACACCCCATCTCCAAACCCAACTATCCTCCTGCAACCTTGGTGGAACTCTGAAACACAGCTTGCTCCAATACTGAGGGGACTTAAGAAGTGAGTGAACAGCCACACAGCAGGACACCCCACTCTCTAGGACCTCCACAGTGGGACAAAATCCCAGACCCTTCTCCCAACTTCCTTGGCTTTTCTAGCCAGTCAGCAGGGAGTTTCCTGTGGGTGGTCTCCCCCCAAACCCAACCCCATTCACTGGACCCCCCCAAGCTATTAGCAATACCTCACCTAAGAGCTAAGAGCTTGCTACAACACTGAGGGGACCAAGAGAAAGTACCAAGAGAGTGAACCAGAAGACAAGACCGAGAGAGCAGGCTTATAGAGACCTCAGATGCTTTCTGAGGCAGACATTGACAGTACAGAGCAGACCAAGAAAAACTCCCAAACAGACAGCCACTGCAAGGATTGGCCCAAGACGCAAAGACACTGCCGGCCTCATTTGAAGGAAGAGGTGGGTAGGCACCAATGGAAGAATTCCTCCAACAACCTAAAAAGCAGCATGGTAACACCAGAACCCTTGGTCACACAATAAGAAGACTTGATCATCCTAACCCAGAAGAAGCAGAAGAAAATGATTTTAAACGTAACTTTATGAAAATGATAGAGACCTTAATTTAAAGAGGAAATGAAAAACTCCCTTAAAGAAATGGAGGGAAAAACAAACAAAAAATTGGAAGAAATTAATAAATCCCTCAAAGAAACCTAAGAAAACCAAGAAGAACAATCAAACAGGTGACGCAAACAGTTCAAGACTTGAAAACTGAAATGGAGGCAATAAAGAAAACACAAACCGAGGGAATTCTGGATATGGAAAATCTGAGTAAATGAACAGGAACTACAGAGACAAGTATAACCAACAGAATACAAAAGATAGAAGAAAGAGTCTCGGGCACTGAAGATACTATAGAGGAAATAGAATCATTGATCAAAGAAAACATTAAATCCAAAAAATTCTTGACACAAAACATTCAAGAAATCTAGGACACCATGAAAAGACCAAACATAAGAATAATAGGGGTAGAAGAGGGAGAAGAATTCCAGATCAAAGGCACAGAAAATATATTCAACAAAATCATAGAAGAAAACTTTCCCAACCTAAAGAAGGATATCCCTAGAAAGGTGCAAGAAGCTTACAGAACACCAAATAGACTGGATCAAAAAAAAAGTCCCCTCGCCATATAATAATCAAAACATAAAACATGCAGGATAAAGAAAGAATATTAAGAGCTGCAAAAGAAAAAGGTCAAGTAACATATAAAGGTAAACCTATTAGAATTACACCCAAGTTCTCAATGGAAACTGTGAAAGCCAGAAGGTCCTGGATAGATATGCTGCAGACACTAAGAGACCATGGATGCAAGCCTAGACTATTATACCCAGCAAAGCACTACCAATGGAGAAAACAAGATATTGCATGACAAACACAGATTTAAACAATACGTATCACAAACCCAGTCCTACAGAAAGTACTAGAAGGAAAACCCCAACCCAAGGAAGCTAACTAACTACACCTACAAAAACACAGGCAACTAGAGAAATTCCCAGGAATCCACAAGGCTGATTCTAGCTGAGACCATAGGCAATGGAGGAGAGGGGGCCTGATCTTGATTTGCCCTGTAGTCAAACTGATAATTATCTTAAATATCACCAGTGAGCCTTCATCCAACAACTGATGGAAACAGAGGTGGAGACCCACATTGGAGCACTGGACTGAGCTCCCAAAGTCCAGCTGAAGAAAAGTAAATGTAAAATACACGTCTTTCTGTCCCACGTGCACTGGAATGCAGGTTCTTTCTTCAAGGCTTTTCTGCTTCCCAGCTTACACATCCAGAGAGACTAATGAATTTCCTTTAAATATATAAGGTAATGCCTCAGTTATTTTTTCTTTTAACAAAAAAATTCACAAAAAACAATAAACTCACGTTTTCCATTGTAATATCATTTGAGGCATTCATCAGAGTCACACTCTTGTCAACAGCTACAATCCCAATGATGGACTCGGCCTCTGTCACTGAGATCCTGAGAGAGACCTTCTCAGACGGCTTGACTTGAGATTTACTCCAGAAGAGCTGTATCTAAGAAAAGGAGGAGGCAAAATCAATTTATTTCATTTTCCCAAGATCAATGGCTCAGAACCCACTGATTCTACTTTTGCCTTGGCCCAGGGATAATTCCAAAACTATATATGACTTTTCTCTGAGGAAAGAAATTTTTTTAAACTCCCAGATATTGCCAGGCAGTGGTGGCGCACGCCTTTAATCCCAGCACTCGGGAGGCAGAAGCAGGCGGATCTTTGTGAGTTTGAGGCCAGCCTGGTCTACAGAGCGAGTTCCAGGACAGGCTCCAAAGCCACAGAGAAACCCTGTCTTGAAAAAAAAAAAAAAGCTCCCAGATATTTGCAATCCATGAAACATCTCCCTGTGGTATAAGCACCAATTATCCTTCAACTCTTCACCTGGCTTCCTTCCTTTTTCCATTTTCCATTTCTCAGTCCTCAGCTGGTGCTGAATGCAGGACAGCAGTCTATAACATCCGTGCAGAAGGCCACCCTCGGAAGGAAGAGACAGGAAAGAGGAAAACTACAGTGGGCCCCTACAATAGGTCCCTAAGATCTTTACTTAGAAATGAGCACAAAAACAGCTCTCTGGAACCTCACAGAACTCTCTACAGTGTAAGTGAAGCAAAGTTCCTTTCAGGAAAGGCATGGTCAGACCAGACCCTCAGCAGACTCCTCTATTCTGATTCCAGGGCTTCTTGAACTTCATCGTATGTTCCTCAAAGCATGGTCCAACTCATACTTCAAAAAGATCATGACTCCATCATGGTGTGGAAGGTCCTTCTATCTACATGTTGTTTTTATTGGTTAATGAATAAAGGGCTGTTTTGAGCCTATGGCAGGGAAGAACAGAACTAGGTGGGGAAGTCTAGGCTGTATGCTGGGAGAAAGAAGGGTGGAATCAGAGAGAAGCCATGGAGCCACCGGAGATAGATGCTGGGAACTTTACCTAGGAAGCCACAGCTACGTGGTGATATACAGATTAATAGAAATGGGTTGAATTAATATAACAGCGAATAAAAAGCTAGAGCTAATGGGCCAAGCAGTGATTTAATTAATACAGTTTCTGTGTGATTATTTCGGGTCTAAGCTAGCTGGGCAGCCAGGAACCGACAAGCACCCTTCTGCCAACACCATCATGAGGCAAAGTCCCATTCCTACTGAGGACCTCCGTGTCACCTAGCTCAGCCCTAACATCAAACTGTGCCCTTGATTACATTGCCCAACCATGACGTTCCCTCTAAGTCGCTGAACTATATGCTGGCTTCCTCCCAGGTGTGGCCCCTAACTGGGGCATTTCCTTTTCGACTGAAAACATGATCATCATTATCTAAAAAACCAAAGAAAGGATCTCTTTGAAAATGAAATTCAATTTTTCTATTTCATTTGTCCAAAAACATTTCTTAAAAAATATCCTTTAATATGCTCTGTCTTCCTTGGTGGTAATCTTCCACGCTGTTCTTAGCTTCATACCACCCATAGAGGTGTGTATCCTGATGTAAGCCTCCATAACGCCTTTCTAAAATTCACTTGTTTTAAGTGATTATTATAAAGTGAATATTTTTGCCAGAAATCAAGAAACTATATTGCTACTTCTTTAAGACACTTTTCATAAAATAAAAAATAGAAGTTTATATTATAGTTTTAAAAAAGGTAGGGTTACTCGGGGCTGGGGTGAGGCTCACACTAGCACATGAGCTAGCATGCACAAGGCCCTAGATTCACTCTCTGGCATCCAAAAAGTTAATACAGACTGTTTTAAATGAAAGCAAGTGTGACTAATTGATGCTACTTCTCAACGTTTTGCATTTTTTTAAAGGAACTATTAAGAGAGCTGTGCTCTACAAATCATGACACTGAAACTGATTCTTCCACTTAGGAAGAGCAAGGCAGAAGTGTTCAGTGAGAACAATGGCACATTCTCGAGTCTGTGAGATGATTGCGCTGTTTCTTGTCAGAACTGGGGCTGAGGCGGTCCTGCACGAGCTAGCTCCTCAGGCTAAGTATCCCAGGACTGGTGCACAGGGGACCACACAGACCTCCAGAGGCAAGGCACTGAGCTCACTGACAGCCTGTCCTCCTTAGCTTACAGCTGATGGAGATAATCCAGAACCCAGCGCTGCCTCCACACACAACCCTGATGCCCTGCTCCCTCCCCACACCCACCTCGCGGTCACACCAAGGTCAACACCATAGCCAGTCTGTGTTGCTGCTGGAGTTCCAGGCCAGAGCAATATTGATTTAACTGGTTAAAAAGTACCGAAATGACTTTGATGACTTTAAGCTAAAGTCTTAAAGCCAGGAAGCACCGCTGACCAATAATAACTGCGGGGCTTACTATGAAGATACATGTCTTCTGAGTATAGGGAGAACAAGTTTCCAGACAGCCTGGATGACTGATACACTTGCAAGGAAATACTGTGTTTCTCAGACTACACTAAAATCAAGTTTTAAACGTCGCCACCCTAAATCTTACCTTATTTGTAAAAACAAACTGAACAGGGATTTTCAGAACATCGTTTATAATTTCCCCATCATCTGCAACATAATACACAATTATGCAGGCCTTGGGAGCCCAGGAAGCTTCTGGTGTTAAAAAGAAAGTTCTCGAATTTTGTTTGCCCACAGCCACCAGCTGTCCCTTTGACACTACCTAAAAATAAAAACGAAGAAGAGAGGGCAATTATTTGCTAAAGATTATCGTATTTCAACTGAGGTTGTCTTTCTAATAATCTAATTATACAAATTCTTAAATTATCTTCACAACCTTTTTACATGCGAAAATCTACATGATCAGTTTTGAGATGGGAGTTAAATTTCAACAGAAAATAGATATTGTAACTGTTAAGACCAGCAATGAATCAATGAAGAATAAATGATAGCTGATAAAAACCATATCTATGAGTTAAAAAAGGAAATGGAAACATTAAGAAAACACCAGATTGCAGTAACATGTCATCTTTTACAAATGTTATCTTTAATTTTCAATTTTTTACATTTTTAATTTTCAACTGATACATAATATCTGCAAAGGTTTATGGAATACAATGCAACATTTCAATATATGTATACAATGCATACAATGTATAACAACTATCATACATTGTATTTATTCATTAATTAACTAAGGTAACTGATTTATCTAGCCCTTCACTGGCCATGTCTTTCTTAAGTGTCAGCAGTAACTTTTATTATTATTGCCCTTTGTCAAGTTGAGTAAATTCTCACCAGTAAAACAGCATTGAATATTTTTTAAAATATTTATTTATTTATTATGTATACAATATTCTGTCTGTGTGTATGTCTGCAGGCCAGAAGAGGGCACCAGACCTCATTACAGATGGTTGTGAGCCACCATGTGGTTGCCGGGAATTGAACTCAGGACCTTTGGAAGAGCAGGCAATGCTCTTAACCACTGAGCCATCTCTCCAGCCCCTGAATACTTTTACCGTAAAAGTGTGGATGTCAAAACTTTTTCTGAGTCTATTGAGACAAGTGTTTTTTCTTCATGTAATACATTCCATTAATATTTTTAAAGTGCTTGTTAAATTATGCCTGCTAATCATGTCTGTTTTTGCATTGGGGTTTGTGTGCATAAGTACAGGTGACCAGAGAGGTCAGATGCCACACACACCCTGGAGCTGAAGCTGTAGACAGTTGTGAGCTGCCCAATGTGTGTGCTCAGCATTGACCTCAGGTCTTTTGTAAGGCAGTTCATACTCTTAACCACTGAGCCATCTCTCCATTCCAGCACTGGATTAGGTATGTCAACTCAGTGACATTTCTGAGACAGCACTCATGTGCACTGACCATCTCTTTGTGTTGAAAACTATTATTTAATGGAAAGGAATACAGAGATCTGATGGGAAGGCTCGACTACCAAAACTACAAGGCCATGATGGCAAGTTTTATTTTCTTTCTTATATTTCACAATTTTCCACAATGGATTGATGTTGCCTATATACTAGAAATGTACATTTTATACCTGGTGCAAAATTTAGCTATCTACTTTAAATGAAAATGTAGATGTAGTTGAAGAAAGAAAAGTGATCATACAATAAGAAGAGCAAACTAATCTGTAACAGTTTTAGCACGTCTGGTGAGGACATGAGGCAACAATGCTCAAGATGGTTCTGTTACAGCTCGTGTCTCTGAGAAATTACCAGCCTTCGGTGACTGAAGGTGCTGGCAACACGAGCCTCAGAACCCCTGGCAAAAAGAAAGAACGGACTCTCCAAAGTTGTTTCTGACCTCCATATACATGCCATGACACACGTGAGACAGCATGCATACATACACATAATAATAAATAAATAAAACCTTAAAATAAAGAAATTACCATATAGCTTAATCCTTTGAAAGGTTTGTTGCCACTAACCACCAATTCAAAAGGTGATCCCACCTAGAAAAGAAATACAAATTAATATGCATGCCCTAATTAAAAGGCCATCAAATCATGCTGTGATTATCAAGTGAGTCCTAAGCATTACCTTTACATGTTCTTCTCTGGTTTTAAGCTGGATGTAGGTCCGGCTGGGAGAGGTGAACATGCCGCGAACCGCCATATTGCCTACACTATCAAGGAAAGAAGCCTGCAGCAACAGAAACAAAACTATAAATGTTCAGCTGCAGTAGCCTGAGAAAGAATGTGATCTGTTGAGTAAGTATGGAAATGAAATCACTTTCATTTTTGCTTTCAGGCAGAAATGCATTCACCAGACATTAATTAGTCTAATTAAAGTCTAACACCTTTAATGCCAACTCTGCGGAGGCGGAAGCAGGTGAATCTCTGTGAGTTCAAGGCCACCCTGGTCTACAGAGTGAGTTCCCAGACAGCCAAGGCTACACAGGGAAACCCTGTCTTGAAACCAAAAAAAGAAAAAAAAAGAAAGAAAAAAGGAAGGGAGGAAGGGAGGAAGGGAGGAAGGTCTTTGCCCTCATAGCCCAGAAGTACAGCCCTCACGGACTTCAGAAGCAAGGTCGTCTTGTTAAGAAATTCAGGCAGAAGAGGGAATTAAACAGAAAATGGACCCCTTCCTTTCCACACAATGCCCAGACAGAAGCAAGAAACATCACACCCTGCTTGACCCACCAAAACAAAGAGTCAAAAACCAGCCAGAGGTGGTGGGGCACACTCATGAGGGGAAGGCAGGAGGATCACGGGTTTGAGGGCAGTCCAGACTGCACAGTGAGCCCCTGCCAGGCTGAGCTGTATAGTAGGACCCTATCTCAATGAAGAACAGCACAAAGGAAAGCACTTCCAACAGGGCTGCTCCCTACGCAGTTAGGGCTCTGACTTGGGCAGATCACGAGAATTATGGGGCATTCCCAGACAGGCCACGCTAGGAGAGAAAGCTCAGGAAAGGTGATTTCAAATAACTGGAAATCAACCAAGTTGAGGGTTTGGGGAGCTTCTCCAATGGAATCTTTGCATTGCTATGTTTTTCCGTGGTCCTTAAAATGAAATTACAAAGAAAAATCTAAAGTAGATCTTAGCCACTGGTAAATGACATCTAAGCCTTTCTCTGTCTAAAGCAGACATGTGTCCACTTCCTCTGAGAAGCTGTCTCCCACAAAATGACAATGGCAATAACGTCGCTGCTTGAGGCATGGGAAGACACGGCACCTGCAGTTGCAGCTCACTGGAGTTGTGCAGGATCGGGAATTCAATCTTACAGATTCCATTTTGGGGGATGGTATAATTTATAATGCTGATGTTAGCCGTGTCCTGTTCTCCATCGCTCCACCTTCTCCAGATGTTGGTGTTTTCCCTCTGGGTCACTACTAGGACTAAAGGATCTCTTCTTTCTTCATGAGTTAGTTCATTGCCATCAGAGCGGCTGACCTTCACCTAATGGTTAAAACAAAATATTTTAAGACAGGCAACAGGGATAGCAAAAGAGTTGAGCCTAGTTGAATGTAGTTTCCATCTGTGCTATTCCTCAGTGCTAAACCCACAGCGTTACAGTTATTGGAGGCACCCCAATCCATGTTCGGTAACCCTTCTCCAGGAAGCCTCTGACACCATGGTCACTGCCCCCTTACTCACATGGCTTCCTTCTCTTCTGAGACCCTTGCTTCATGTCTCTTTACGCTCTACTGTCACTGGCCTGACAAGAGTACAGATATTGAAAAAGACACTTGTATCCTGCCCTTCAGTTATCAGATAACAAAAATATGGAACATATGACATTGGAATTTCCCCAGGACTCTCATGCTGGGAGACAAGAAAGGCCTGGATCAGCCAAAGGGGAAACCTTTCTCCTAGAGTTCCAGTCTGTTAGATATCTTACAGGAGAGACAAGATGGGCCTTCGGTTGGTGAGACCGTGCCTTGCCATGCCTTCTGACTGCTTAGCTACGCCAGCTCTGGCCTTGACTCCATGACTCCAAAGATGGACTTGTAGGGATGAGGTCTCTGGGTCTGTTTGTACCTCATTCCACTCTGACATCAACGAATAAATCTCCTTTTGTTTGTTTTCCACCACTAATTTGTCTGCCTTAATTAGCTTCTCAAGGTAAACATGGCTTACCGGGTCACTAACTATGACCCCAAGTCTGGTAACACTCTGTGTCCCCTTTGGCTCCTTGTTCTTTTCCTTTCTTCAAAATTTCCAACACTCAGCTGGCTTAGCTTCATAGCTTAGTGATTATACCCCAAATTCAGAATTCCCATCCTCACTCACACTCAGTTGCTCTGTTGAGGGAATCTCTACCTGATACCCAGTCACTTCAAATTCAGTACATTAACTAATCAAGACACCATCATACCTTTCCTGTTCTTACTACCTACCGCCATCCTGACAGACTGGCGATCTCAGTGTCTCCCAAACTCAGTGAGTACCAAGCCCCATATTTTCTCGGCCCTCCCTCTCCACTCCCATAGCTACCACCACAGACTAGACTCACTCCTGGCTGCTGCTGCGCTCTTTTCACAGACCTCAAATAGCCCTCCACAAGAACTGCTTTCGCGGGGTCTCTCCCTCCACAAACACTGCTTTCTCAGCATCTCTCCCTCCCACCAACCCCACACATGCTCTACCCCACCCCCACTCCCACTCCCACCCCACCTGTGATCACAGGCTCCAAGTCCTCTCACTGGCTAAAGGGTAAAGTTCAACACACTCATGAGGCCCTCCCAAGCTCATCCCTTAGTTAGCGTTTCCTAACTAAGCTTTGCTTCCTGTTTAATCAAGCAAAGTCCTCAGCTGCTGTGCCCAGGTCCAGTCACTTTTCTGATTGCACCCTGATCTTACCGACAGCTTTTTTTTTTGTCTTACGTCATCTTGCTCCCTGACTCCCTTGCCAACGCGCAAACATGTAAAACACAACTAATCTTGTCATCATTCAAAGTTTCCTCTTCCATAAAGCATCCCTTAAAAGTCTCCATCCACACCCCCAAAACAAACTTTCCTCCCTGGGTCTGCCACAGCTTCATAAGCCTGTCCCAGCACCATGCCCAGCACATTGTCAAAGTTCATTCAAGTTGGGGAATGGTGCATAAATATGAGCAATGAGAAAATGGCATACAAATGAAAATATTAAAAATAAATGCATCATTTTGCGTGTTTTCTAAATTTATTTTTCTTAATTTATTCAAATACTAAGTATTAATTCAACATTTTTCTGAAAAAAAGAACATCCTTAATAATAATTTTAATACCATATCTTTGATTAAATTCTTCATTAATAAAAGCTTCAATGTTGTAATCCATAGCAAAAAAAAAAAATGCTGGCTAAGTAAATTTGGGGGAAAAAAATTTGGCTGTTCTGAGAAACCACTATAAAAAATATATGACAAAGGTCATTTGGGAGCAGTTCTCTGAGTTCATATATCTAAAGAGGAAAGGTAAGAAACCTCCATTTGACTTAGTTTAAAGACACTAAGCACATGATTTCCCATGGTTTCATTTCACTGAGACTCATGCTTAGGTAATAAATACACCCACTTACAGAGGCTGTGAAGTTGAGAGATGGCTTCAAGACAGTCGCATAATCAAAAAACTCAATGATGTAATCATGTTGTTTGAAAAACACATTGGTACTTGCATTTCTTGAGATACCTGTATTGAGGATTGCACCATTTAGAATGTAAAAGCAGTATGTCACCAAAGGCTTGTGTCTGCCTAAGCGTCTTACTGGAGGAGCTGAAGATACCAGGGCACATACGCCTACTTCCATGATTGAGCATGGTCCCAAGAGAAGCTCAGAATGCTAGCAGGTTAGTCTTCCTCAGTAGTTTGTACACCAAATACAGACCAAATACGTTTTGTTTGTCGGGTCAATCAAACAATCAAACAATCTGTTAAACAGGTTCCAAACAATTAACTTTTATGTTCTTAAAATAACAAACTGTCTAGGAACAGGTGACATTTTGGAGTAAGCGGCGAAGGAGAAAAGAGAGAAGAAGCCAGTCTGCTGAAAATGTAGGCCTCCTGTTTTTTTCTTATGAAACACCCTACACGTTAAAGCTTTAAACACTAAATAGCCTCCCTAGAAGCGATGAGAGAGCTAGCACAGCGGACAGCTAACAGACAGCACAGGATTTTATCGTCATCGTGGCCACAAACCTGTGAGCGATTCCGTCACGGTAGCTACAATCTCTATGGGCCCAGGGATGGCCATGTCCATGTGCACAGAGTGCTCATCCGAGAAATCCAGAACCTCCTTCATCTCTTTATCAGAGAAAGAGAAGTTGGCGGATCCATTTATCTGTTTTGTTTAAAAATTTCAGTTTACTTTTCGCTTTAGGAATTTAAACTCTAGAAATAAAACTCAAGCAGAGTCACATTCGAGAGTCGCGCCCCACTTTGACTGCTCGTCCAATGTTAGAAAGTTCCAGTCTTTTCTTAGGGTCTTATTTTGGTAATTCTGTACAAAACTTTATTTTTAGGGAAAAAAAAAGTTAAATTTTCCATACTATGATCTGATTCATAATTATTCCATCTATCATGCATTATGTTGAAAACAGGTGTAATCTTTCAATAAGGGCTACATTTTCCTGTGGTTCCTATAATTAATCTCTATTGTTTGCTCATTTTTACTTGTGAGACAGAGTCTGACAGCTGGTCTGTTTTGCTAGATGGCAGAGGCTGGTCTAGAACTACTGCTCCCCCTTCCTCAAGGGTGGAGATAACAGGTGTGCGCCACCACAACCAGCCAAGTTCTATTTTTTAATCAAGATTAAAATATCTCCGTTGTAAAAGAGAAAAATATCTGCAAAAGTTACCTCAAAGATTTTTGTGATATTTTTCTTCTCTCTCCAAACAGATAAAGATAAAAATGTAAGTGTTACATGTCCCTTCACCGGCTTCCCATACGTATACCTGGAAAACAATTTTTTAAAAAAAAATGTTTTATTATTACATTTTCAACGTGTTGGTGTCAGAGGAAGACAGCAAAAATATCACTTTCAATAAGCAGACACTAGCAATTTAATTCAACAGAAAAGAATTACATTAAAAACACACCTCTCCTACAATTAAAAAAAAAATGGCCCAAGTCAGTCATATTAGCACTGTACTTCTAGCAGTCAGAAAGCTGAGACAGGACAAATTCAAGGCTGGGCTGGGCTACTTCTCAACCCTCCGTCTCATGCAAACATAACACAGCAAGGAAAACAGTAAGAACGAGGAATGTTCTTGGCAAATGGTGATTCTTCAGATTAGTTCTCCAAATGGAACTCAGAACTAGAGCATCTAAAATCAGTTCAAGCGATGTCTGTCCATCGTCTTCTCCCACTTAGAGGACATGAAAGAAGCGCCAGAATTACAGAAAAGCACGGTGAGCTCTAAAGACTATGAAAAATCTTACAGCACTAGGCTGGCCACCACCTGCATGTCTACAAACTTCACAGTCTGTAAAAATGTTTAAATGTTAGTTGAAGTTATAATTATTATAGCTGATTGTCACATGTCCCAGGACTCACCAGAAAGGGATTATCAGATCTTAGACTATAGAGTACAAATGCACACATATATAGCTACCAAAAAACTTAACAATTTTTTGCAAGGAAACTTTAAATAATATTTTTAACCATCACTTCAAACTCATCTTCTTGTGTCAAATTCACTGCCTGCCACTTCACAGTCTTAATTCCCTTAATTATTCCCTCTCGTAGTAGAGACCATTCTTCATGTAAAAGAAAGGCAATCTTCAATAAATCACTTTACAGCCAGAAAATCTTTTTAAAATGTGTTTGCTGGGTTCCTCCAATCTCTATTTCAAACACTGGGCTTTTTGCTTTGCATTTTACGAATTGAAATGGTAAATTCATGTTTCCTGAATCTGTTAGTTAGATACCGAAATAATCTCTCCTGTGAGCAAACTCCAAAGCAAATACAGAAGCTTCCAAATGATGAGGAAGGAAAAAAAATCCACCGTCAAATATACCATCCTTCCAAACAAAAGCAGCGATGTTAGTAGGGACCTGGCTGGGAACCACAGTGCCAAAATCACTCACCCGAGGCCTCGGCAGCTGACGTGCTCTGTGTCAGTACAGGCAGAGCCAGAACGCCAGGATGTTATATTTTAAAATGGTCATATCATATGAGAGCTCAGAGTATTTTTAAATAATAACTTAATATATGCTTAAACACAATTTATTTTCTTTTAATTCTGCTTTAAATCTAAAGCCATGTCTACAGAAATGACTCTATGACTAAGAATTTTTTTCCCGTTCTAAGACATCTCCCCAGCCCCTAAATACACAAGGTTTCAGAAACCTGACAATGCATGCTATAAGCCCCTTCGTCACTAGTCCTTGGGAAACATTTTAAGAGTGGCAGCTTGAAGCAGAGTTATGGATGCAAAGACTTGGAGATGTCTGGGCTAAATAAAGTATTGCAGGCATTTGCTTACTGTGTATTAGGGTCTCTTTAAAAAGCAAAACCTTGTGCTAACATTCTTAAGTGAGTACAGAGCTTTCATTTATTTATTTATTTATTTATTTATTTATTTATTTATTTATTGTGGTTTTTTGAAACAGGGTTTCTATGTGTAGCTTTGGAGTCTGCCCTGGAACTAGCTCTGTAGACCAGGCTGGCCTTGAACTCATGGAGATCTGCCTGCCTCTGCCTCCCGAGTGCTAAGATTAAAGGTGTGCGCCACCACTGCCCAGCTTGTGTACAGAGCTTTCTGCCAAGCTGTTTGACAACAGTTTAGAGCCACTCCAAAAGAAAGATGCAACTTACTTTGCTGTGACGGTTCCACTTAATTTCTTAGCGTTCAAAGAACAATACAATGGGGTCTGTAAGGTAACTTCAAACTTCGGTAACACTGGAAAAGAAGAGCAATCTCTTGATTGTTTTACCAGCATCTTCAGTTCAACCATATAAAGGGTTGTTCTAACTAGTTGATAATTGGTATTTCTGGAACTTGGATTTATTCACACACACACTGTTAACTTAAATTTAAAAGCCCTTTATGTAATTCAAAATTAGAAATACTTACTTACTAGGTCAACTTTATATAATAATGAAATGGCTTTTGCTTGATTGCTTTACATTTATTGACTGTTTATTTACTTATCCATTTTGCCTGCACGTGTGAGTGCCAGAGTGTATGCGTGTGCACTACACGTGTGAAGGAGGAGCCTGTGGAGAGGAGAGGACCCTGGCTTCCCTGGAACTGTAAGTTACAGGTGATTGTGAGCCATCGTGTGGGTTCCGGGAACCCAACCTTGTCCCTCTACAAGACAAGAAGCATTTTTAACCATTGAACCATCTCTATGCCTGCCATAAAATGTTTTACAATTAATATTATTTTAAATAAAGTACTCTACTGTTGGCAGAGGCTGTTTGTTCATTTCCTTCGTCTAAAATCTTGTTTTACTATTTAGGCAAAACTTAAAACTTATTATTAATCAACTTTCTTTTCCTTACATGAAGTCTTAGAAATCTGATATGGATTTTACATATATAACACATATATTGGGACCAGATACATGTCAAGGACTATACACCTGTATATGGTAAGGACTTTGGGTGACACACACAGTTCCAGATCAGGGGTCAGAACAGTATGGCTGGCATAAGCTAAGAGTAGATTTTACTAATTTTATCAATTGGTTGGAAAAAAATCAAAAAATAAATATGTGGTGATGTATAAGTTTAATACATGGCAGCAGCATTCACATGTATTCTCTGTATCTGCTGCATTCTACAGAGGCAAAGATGAGCAATTATAACAATTACCCAAGGCCTACAGAGACCGAAATGCTACTTTTAGTTCCATTACAGGAAAATACTTTGCTGGTCCCTGTTCCAGGCCATGACATACAGATGTGACAATACCATGGGAAACATAGGATCTGGAGGCACAAAAATGTAACAACCTATGTTTCAGAATTCCTTTGCCTAAATTAAGAGTGACCATTAACTGTTATGTAACCAAGGTTAAAAGGTTCACCTACAAACTCAAAGCCACTATTTAATGTATCAGCTATTAGGGAGGCCCTGGACTTTTTCTCATGTCTACCTCCTCTCTGGCCACTGAGTAAAACAGCTGAATCCACTACTTTGATCTGTGTGCCTATAATGCAATCTGGAGTCTGCAAGAAGATGACCTTCCTGAGTTAAAAGCCCTGTCTCCACCGCGTTGACCAAATCAGGATATAGAATATGACCCACGTCAAACTGGTAATTATGTTTTTTGTGGTGCTAGGAACTGAACCCAAGCGTTGCCCATGCTCTCAACTGAACCATGTCCCCAACTCCAATGTCCAGTTTTCAAAGAATCAAAAAGTTTTACGATTTTATAAATACAGCAGGATGGGGGGAGTCAGGTACTTGGGAGATGAGACAATAACCACTAATTTGAGGCTAGCCTAATCTGTAAAGCAAGTTCCAAACAGTACTACAGAAAAAATAAAAAAAAATTTAAAAAAAAAAAAGCAGTCTGGCTTTGTGGGAGCCTAGGCAGTTTGGATGCTCACCTTACTAGACCTGGAAGGAGATGGGAGGTCCTTAAACTACCCACAGGGCAGGGAACCCGGTCTGCTCTTTGGGCTGCTGAGAGAGGGGGACTTGATTGGGGGAGGGGGAGGGATATGGGAGGCGGTGGCGGGGAAGAGACAGAAATCTTTAATTAATTAATTAATTAATTAATTTTTAAAAAGCAGTCTGGAGAGGTGACTCAGCAGTTAAGAGCACTGATTACTCTTCCAGAGGACCCAGATTTTTATCCCAAGCATCCCCACATGATGGCTAACAAGCATCTGTACTCCAGTTCCAAGGGGATCCAACAGCCTCTTCTGGCTTCCACAGGCTCTACATGTATGTGGTACACAGACATACATAAAGACAAAACATTTCTACACATAAAATAAAAATAAATAAATCTCAAAAAACAAAAGAGAAAAAATAAAAACAGAGAAAGAAAAACTATAATAAGAAAAAACTGACTTTGGAATGTTAGATACTTTGCCTACTCTTTTCTTTATAACAAAATTTCAGAACATTTACAAAGAAATGTATATTTGATCCTACAAAGAATACTAAAGTTTTAACTTTATTGAAATTTTTATTTTAAGTAGCATGTCTCATGAAAATTTCTCATCTCTATAGAAAGTGTTTTCTTCCTTCAAAATACATTGAGGAACTCTTACCGTATTCCGAGACCTCGAATGACTGATAATACTGCTGGTCCTATTGGGAAAACAAGACAAAAACCAAATGAGAGTTAGTTTATTTTGTTCTCTTATCTGTATAAAATGTTTAGAAAATAATTTTTGAATTACATATAACAGTTTAAAGATCAAAACAATTCATCTTAATCTGTAGAAATTTATTTTTAAGCAACTTCAGTACCAAGCTTGTGAAACAGAGTTTTTCCTCCCAATTTGTTCACATAAAAAAGTTACCTCCCTAATTATAAGTAATTTAAACAAACTGTTTAATCTGACTTACATCATTTACAAAGCAAAAATTAGGTTAAAGAGTTCATAAATTTATGAAGTCATGATAATACATTTCAATTTAACAAAAAAAATAACTTAAAGTTTGTTTTGGATGTGACTTTTTAAAAAACATGGGAAAAATGGAAATACTCACAATTAAAATACAAATAATCAAGAAGGCAGGTTATTAAGAACCAACATATCCTATCTTCTAACTCCTTGAATTATTTTCTACTGTAACATTTAAATCAATACATCCTACCCTACTTTAACAGATTCATTAATTAATCTCTTTTCCAAGATTCACAAGAAAACAGATCTCCTATTATATCATTTTCTAACTTACAATACTAACTATGCAGTCTGAATAGCAAAAGCCATGGTCAGAGAGCTACGTGATTTGACTGGGAACCTGCATTCTAAAGCTGATCCTTCTGTGCTTATCACAGCAAACAGAGCAGCGATGATACAAGAGTAGCTTCCCGAGAAATCACAGCTAATCTAAAGCATCTATGTTAAGAATATTTTGAGGCATGGTCTCTCTCCTCTCTCTCTCTCTCTCTCTCTCTCTCTCTCTCTCTTTCTCTCTCTCTCTCTCTCTCTCTCTCTCAATTTGAGGCATGGTCTTTCTCCTCTCTCTCTCTCTCTCTCTCTCTCTCTCTCTCTCAATTTGAGGCATGGTCTTTCTTCTTCTTCTTCTTCTTCTTCTTCTTCTTCTTCCTCTCTCTCTCTCTCTCTCTCTCTCTCTCTCTCTCTCTTACCCAGGACAACCTGGAACAGGTTATGCTGTTCAGGTTAAGCTATAATTAATGATAATCCTCCTGCCTCAGCCTCCCATAGACCCACACCTAGTTCATTTTACTTAACCTTAAGAAAAGATACAGTTCACTTCAAAATATAAAACAAATCTTCGCATGCTAACAAAATAGCTATCTAGGTCTGGAATGTAGATCAGTGGCAGAGCACATGGAAAGCACTTATCAATCTCTGGGGCTTAATTGCCAATGCTGAAAGGAATAGAACTGTTTAAAGTTTATCATCATTTAAAGGTTACACTAAATAGGGGGTAGAGAGATGGCTCAGTGTTTAAGAGCATTTACTGCTCTCCCAAAAAAACTTGTTTGTTTTCTGTATCTATAGTCAGGTGACTCACAATCTCCTGTAATTCTAGCTTCACTTCTGATGCCCTCTTCTGGCCTCTGTGGGCAACTGCACACTCACATATACATACCTCCTTCTACATGTACAGATGGGTGCACACATACACACATACATAGTGACATAATTTGAAACAAATCTTTTTAAAATATATAGATATAGATATTTACCCATCCTAAAAAAATGTGCTATTTGGATCAGCCTTAAGAATCTCCATCTTGATGATCCCTACTTCAATTGTTGGCATGTCATATATAGAAATATTATAAGCTGCATGATTCTAATTCACTATACTTTGTTATTTTCAAAAATAAAATCAAGAAGGTATTTGTTGCGTGACTTATCCAGGAAAATATAAAATTAACATCTGTCACCAAACTGATATGGCAACAACAGGCCATAAACTGCCCCAAACAAGGTCATGATGAGTAAAATCAGTTTATCATTTAATAATTTATTTAATAAATAATTATTTATTTGTTGTATTTTATCAGTGTTGCCTGCATGTATGTCTGTGTAAAGGTGTCAGATCTTTGAGTCACAGACAGTTGTAGTTGAACCCTGTCAAATGCTCTTAACCGCTGAACCATCTCTCCAGCCCTCATAAAATGAGTTTATTAGAGCTTACATAGCGGATAACTAGAGAGAACTCCATTTTTCAAAAATTGCCTCCAATACCACCACTAAGCTCCTATACTACAGGACTCTAAGATCACAGTAGAATTGATACAAATCTGTACACAGAGCCCTATGTAGCTTTAAAAACAAATTGCAAGCTCAGACAACAGAGAGATACCCAATTTAAAAAAGTAGAAATGACAGTTGGGCGGTGGTGGCACACACCTTTAATCCCAGCACTCAGGAGGCAGAGGCAGGTGGATCTCTGTGAGTTCGAGGCCAGCCTGGTCTACAAGAGCTAGTTCCAGGACAGGCTCCAAAGCTACAGAGAAACCCTGTCTCAAAAAAAAAAAAAAAAAAAAAAAAAAAAGTAGAAATGAACCAGACATGGTGGTGCACATTTTAGTCCCAGTGTTCAGGAGAAAGAAGCAGGTAGATCTCTTGAGTTCGAGACCAGCCTGACCTACAGGGAAGGCTACACAGAGAAACCCTGCCCCAAAACAATGACGGCAAGAAGTATAAATGAGTACAGCTCAAACGCTGTACGGTGCAGGCAAAGCCCGACCCTATTTCCAGCCTGTCTAATCAAGGGTGCTGAAGGTCTCAGCCAACATGTCCAACCATGGGGAAAGTCACGTCTTCTGTTGCAGTCTGGCACACAGAAGAGCTGACTGGTGGCTTGCTACAAGGGGGCGGTGGGTCACTGAATAGGATCCAGAGAAGTAGTCTCTTTTCAGTAATTCAGCTATGTTGCCCCATTTGCTGGTGAACAATTCTAGTCTTTGGAATAGTTTCTTTACTACTGAGGCCAAGACAAATAAGCCCGGGGGGAAGAGGGGCTCAGCTTTGGAGCACTTGTTCTTCCAGAGGACCTGGATTCAATCCCCAGCACCCACACGGAGGCTCACAACCACCTATAACTCTGGTTCCACCAGTTCCAATGTCCTCTACTGACTTCCAAGGGCACCAGACATGTTCTTGGTACACATGCCTATATACAGGTAGGACATTTTATACATCAAATAAATCTTTAAAGGTTTAAATTTAAAAGTTAGTTAGCATGGGGAATGAGATGTTCTCTGTTGAGTTAATCATATACCATAAACATTAACTAGTACATGAAAAACAACACATGAGTTCTGTAGTTTTTGTTTTTCTTTTTTTTTAACTGTTGTTTCTATAGTAATGGCTCCTAAATCATTATCTCTAGCCCCAGTCTCAGCTGAGAGATTCAGGTTCAAATCCCCTTGCTGTCATGTTCTTCCAAATGTCTGGGTTTGTTTATCCGAATGGAGCTTCTTCCCTATCAACCCCCCCCCCCCACACACACACACACACACCAGTCATTCAGCATGCCCCTTCTCTCCTACAGCATCCTGTGCCCTGTTTAACATAATATGCATAATCATTGGCTGTGCTCCACCCTCTTCAAGAAACTGAAATCCTTGGGGCACAGCAGCCAGTTTAGCATGCTGTTGATGTCTGTTGAATGAATGCATGTATAAACATGACCTACTTGACTCTTGTCCCCAGGCCAATTGCCACAGTTCTTGAGGAGCTCCAGTTATCAAACAGTATCTCTTCTGAGATCTTAAAATAACTTTCTCCTGTAAAGAGTCGGGCTGCCTTGAGGAGGCAAACAACAGAAAAGGAACCACGACTGTGTTCTCAGTTTCCAGGGAACCAGTGCCACAGAGAGGAAGAAGCCATGCCAAAGGAAGCTGAAGAAAAAGAAGCCAAGTCTTTCCCTCTTTTATCCCTTTAATCATGATAGTAAACGAAGAAATCATTTCATAAATGCACTTTACGTCACACATTTTCCCAAGGTGTTTACACGTGGCAAAATAAATTATTCTACTGACCAAAGGATCTGGGGGAAAAAAATGAATTTTCCAACATATTGTCCATTGGATAGTCAAGAAGCTAGATCAATTTTTTCAATGAGTTTAGTTATTTTTTTTAAACTCTTTTACATAATAGATATTCAAAAGTGGAAGAAGGGAGCCAAGCACAGTGACACGCAACTGAAACCTCACCACTGCAGGGCTGAGATGGGGGAATCACAAGTTTGAAGTAGACCAGCCTAGGCAATAAGAAAATTCCAGGCCAGTCTGGGTTGCACAGGAAGGCCTTGTAACAAAAGGGAAATGGTAGAAAAGACTGAAACAGCTAAAGTTAATAACAACTTTGATAATTTGTACCATATATACCATTTGTACCATATGTAATCACAAAAAACAAAGTATATGTACTAGGTACTTCTGATGGTCTAACACAGGGATCCACATATTTTTTTTTTCTGGTAAAGAATCAGACAGGCCAGACACTAAACACTTTAAACCGTGGAGGCCAGATGGTCCCTGTGCCAGCTATATGACAGTGTCAACATACTGAAAACATATATCCTGAGATCTGAAATGACAATCCTCCAGCATCGTTCTTTTTGCTCAGAATCGCTTTGACTATCTGGGGTCTTTTGTAGTTCTGTGAATTTTAGGATTGTGTGTGTGTGTGTGTGTGTGTGTGTGTGTGTGTGTGTGTGTTCTGTTTCTGGGAAGAATGTTATGGAGATTTAGGGGATTGCATTGAATCTATAAGTTGTGGGAAATGGGAAGCCCTCGTTTGCTATTAGTGGAATTGCAAACTGGTGCAGCCTCTCTGGGAATCAGTGTGAAGTCTCAAAACTCTAAAGAGAAATCTACCATAAGACCCAGCTGTTCATCACTTCTTGTGATACGCTCAAAGGACTTGACACCCTACTCTACTGTAGCTAGAAAGTGGCAACAACCTAAAACGTCCTTCAGCTGATGAATGGAGAATGAAATGTTATATACACTGTGGAATGCTATTCAGCTTTAAAGAAAATGAAATTTAAGGGAAATAATAAATCTAGAAAAGATTATATTAGCCAGATGTTGTGGCTTATGACTTTAATCCCAGCACTTGGGAAACAGAGATCTCTTAGTTGAAGCC